TATGACGGGCTCCATGCTGCGAAAAGAACATTGGATATATTTTTGTTTATGAACAGTAAGGTCCTTTTCAAGACAGTAAGGAAAGACCCCGCGTTAAAAAAGTTGAAGCCAGTAATTGTTCATGTAAACTACCACCCAGATAAACTTAGAAGAATGCAAGCAGTTGTGGAGTTCTATGTTAATGGGAAGAAAGATGCATTGGATCCTTTCCCTGATGGTTCTGAATGGTAGGGATACTTCTACAACTACAGAGAGGACTGTGAGAGATTTAGTTTTTCTCCCCCAGACCACTGTACAGGTTGGGGTTGATTTGATTACTTTTGAAGAGTAATGTGAGAGACCTTTTCTTTGATATTTTGGTTTTTGTTTTACCTGCAGTTGATGGAAAATATTCTTCTTTTTGTTTTCCTTAAAAAACTTTAGTGTATTGTTCCTGTAACATTAAACCTTCGTCGGAGCACCAGTCCCCTCGTGACCCGAGCTATAATGATCAGGTTCGTCATGTTTTTGCAGGGTACTGACTTTTCTGCAACTTGCAAGCAAATTCTTTGATGGTTTCTGGGATATTTGATTCTTTCTTATAGAGCTACATTTTGTTGCATCTTGGTGGAGCCGGGATCAATGACTCCGGTGGGTTCTTAGGACGTGACTGGACTAGCAAGGACCATGAAATCATGGATCCTCAAACTCTTGCATCCCTTAGAAAAGCCAGGGCTGTTCTTCGAAGAGATAAAGGGCAATCACTTAGCGGATCTCGAATCGCCTTAGCCGTTCTGGTTGGTGTTCTTCTTGGCTTCGTCTTTTCTGTGTTATATCCTCATGGGTTCTTCAGCTCCGATCTGGCTAACCCACATCGTCGGATTGCTAATTCTAATCTCCAGGTTCAAATCCTTTTGCCTTAAACCTCCAAATCTATTCTTGTCCGTATATATATTTCAGTGCTTCGTGGTCGGTAATGTAGTCGTAAACTTATTTTGGTGTTTTTTATATTCTTTTTACCTGGGTTTGTTCTTGAATTTTGAACTTTTCTATGTACTCAAGAGAGCTGACTTTATTTCTGTCCGTTGACTCTGCGTGCATGTGTGTTGTTGCTTTCACAGATGAATTCAGGTTGTTCCATGTTTCTGTAAATTGATTGAAGACATTATTTCATTAAGGAATGGGATAATTCGGTGAAATTGAAGGATACAGAATTGAAAATCTTCTAGATCATTAAAAATGCTTTTAAAGAAAAGCCAGCTCTGTGCCATTAATTTAGTTGTGAAAGAGGCATCGTTTCACCAGTTCCCCTCTTTGATGTCTTAGTCTTTGTCTAGTATCTTCCCCTTTCTTGCGGCATTCCCTGGCTTGGTGAGAGGGAAAGGTAAGGTGTATCATTTTAGTTATTGATTTGAGCACGGATTTACTTTTCACGGATGCATTAGCATGAATTTCAAAGTCAATTTTGTGTCAGCTACTGGGTATTATCATTCAATGGTTGCTTCATTTGTCTCTCTTGTTGAATACCATGATTTATAGGCACTTATCATGTTGTGATTACCTCCTATTGTTTGTTTGTTAGACTGGCTCATCTTCATGTGAATCACCAGAGCGAATTAAAATGCTGAAAGCTGATATTGTGGCGATATCAGAGAGGAATGCTGAGTTGAAGAAGCAAGCTAGGGAGCTAAATGAAAAGCTGCAGCTGGAGGAACAAGGACAAGATCATGCTCAGAAGCAGGTTTTGTTACTGGGTAAACAGCAGAAAGCTGGTCCTTTTGGTACCGTCAAGGGTTTGAGAACTAACCCAACTATTGTTCCTGATGAGTCTGTGAATCCTAGACTGGCAAAACTCTTGGAGGAAGTTGCTGTACATAAGGAGCTCATTGTTGCACTTGCAAATTCAAATGTGAAAGCCATGTTAGAAGTGTGGTTCACTAACATCAAGAAAGCTGGTATACGCAATTACCTTGTTGTAGCATTAGATGACCATATTGTAGATTTCTGCAAGTCAAATGATGTTCCAGTGTATAAGAGGGATCCGGATAGCGATATTGATTCGGTTGCAAGAACAGGTGGTAATCATGCTGTTTCTGGATTGAAGTTCCGTATTTTGAGGGAATTTTTGCAGCTGGGTTACAGTGTTCTTCTGTCAGATATTGATATAATATACTTGCAGAACCCATTTGATCATCTTTATCGTGATTCAGATGTTGAATCTATGTCTGATGGCCACGATAATATGACAGCTTATGGATTTAATGACGTCTTTGATGAACCTGCCATGGGTTGGGCTCGTTATGCTCATACAATGAGGATATGGGTTTACAATTCTGGATTCTTTTATATAAGGCCTACACTTCCTTCCATTGAGCTTTTGGATCGTGTTGCTGGTCGTTTGTCTAGAGAGCCGAAGTCATGGGACCAAGCAGTTTTTAATGAGGAGCTTTTCTACCCTTCACATCCTGGGTATGACGGGCTCCATGCTGCGAAAAGAACATTGGATATATTTTTGTTTATGAACAGTAAGGTCCTTTTCAAGACAGTAAGGAAAGACCCCGCGTTAAAAAAGTTGAAGCCAGTAATTGTTCATGTAAACTACCACCCAGATAAACTTAGAAGAATGCAAGCAGTTGTGGAGTTCTATGTTAATGGGAAGAAAGATGCATTGGATCCTTTCCCTGATGGTTCTGAATGGTAGGGATACTTCTACAACTACAGAGAGGACTGTGAGAGATTTAGTTTTTCTCCCCCAGACCACTGTACAGGTTGGGGTTGATTTGATTACTTTTGAAGAGTAATGTGAGAGACCTTTTCTTTGATATTTTGGTTTTTGTTTTACCTGCAGTTGATGGAAAATATTCTTCTTTTTGTTTTCCTTAAAAAACTTTAGTGTATTGTTCCTGTAACATTAAACCTTCGTCGGAGCACCAGTCCCCTCGTGACCCGAGCTATAATGATCAGGTTCGTCATGTTTTTGCAGGGTACTGACTTTTCTGCAACTTGCAAGCAAATTCTTTGATGGTTTCTGGGATATTTGATTCTTTCTTATAGAGCTACATTTTGTTGCATCTTGGTGGAGCCGGGATCAATGACTCCGGTGGGTTCTTAGGACGTGACTGGACTAGCAAGGACCATGAAATCATGGATCCTCAAACTCTTGCATCCCTTAGAAAAGCAAAAAATTATTGCATTGAACTTGGGTTTATATGGACCATTAGTATCTCGTCACGTGGTGCAGTGGATCCAGAAGTACTTGTGTGAATGATTGTGGTTATTTTTAACAATATTTTTTATTTAAAAAATATTTTTCAATTTAATATATTAAAATAATTTAAAAATATATTATAAAATTAGAGGCTATTTGCATTAGTAAAATAATAATTATCATTGTAATTAAAAAAAAACATGTCCCCTCTGTGTCGGGGATAAAGGGTTTCTTTTACATTTTTTGTTGTCATTTATTTTGCTTTTCAAAAAAAAAAACTAGAATTTAAGAGTTGTTTAAACTTTTTATTTTTTAAAGCATGTAAAATATCTAGATTGCTTTTAAAATAAATAAAAAACTTTAACCAGTGATAAGGGATGTTTGTCTTTCCATTATGATTTTATTATGAAATTAAAGAAAAGTTTAGTAATTAAATAAATATAATTATTAAAAATATAGTTTTTATTAAAAAAATTTAAATTAATTTATTTTTCTTTTAAATTTATTTTTTGTTATTTTGATTATTATTTATTTTATTTAAAATAATTTATAAAATTAATTTTTAAATTTTATCCTTTAATTTTTTATGTTAGATTTGATCACCGTTCATTTTATTGTTATTTATTTTTTTAATTCTTTTCTTATTTTTTTAATTTTGTTCTTTTTTAATTTTTGTATGTTAGATTTTATTTTTATTTTTCTTTTTATTATTCTTTAAATTATTGTTTAATTTTATCTCTCAACATTTAATTTAATGTCAAATTTAGTTTTTATTTTTTTCATTACTTTTATTTAGATTAATTTTTTTATTTTATATTAAATTAGTTAAGAATTGAACTTTATGGTTAAATTTGAATCTAATTTTTCATAAATTATGAATTTAAAAAATTAATTCAAGTTAAAAAAAAATAGCTTGATTTTTTTTATGCTTATATGATATAATAATCAAATTCTTTATCCCTATTTTAAATATTTTATCACATTGTTTATTGTAATAATAGGTTTTTCATCCTAACCGCATCAAAGTGCAAGCACGGGACCTGATTTGTCTAGTTTCTAAAGTGGTTTTCTAATGTGACTGATTTGCTAGTGTGAAGCTGAATCAGGTCATTGTAATAATTTCAGGAGGATTGGACTGTCGTCTTGGCCTTTCGTGGCAGAACCCTCGGTGATTATTGCTTAAGTGTGTGTTGGGTAATGCGAGAATATCTTTGAAAAAATATTTTTTAATTAAAAATATAATATTTAATATTATTATATAAAAAATTTAAAAATGGAAATTTAATGTATTATATATATATAAAACATGTTAAACCAGTTAACAAACAGAGCAATAGTTAACTGGCGGCTGCTCATCTCCGTTCATTAAAGGGATTGCCATGTAAAAGTATTATCTCTATGGTGACCAATCATAGGCCAGTACAATCATTCAAGGTATAAAGAATAAGAACTGGGCGTACACTGCATTTTTTGGTCAGTTTTAATCATATCTGCTGCAAGCAAGACCAAATTCTAGTGCAAAAGACTCGAAAATATGAGCCAGAGAATCAGAAGGGCCAACGGGAGAAAAACAACCTTTACATTTCGTGCTATAAGTGCCTTTTGGGTCATGTTCCAACCAATTTTAATTTGATTTTTCGTTTAATTTACATGGACGGAAGGGAGCCACAAGAAGTTCATGTCTTCTTTCAATCTATGGCAAGCAATAACAGGCTGTCATCCTAATGGACATTGTAGAAAACGAACCCAAAACAAATTGGGATCACACAAAATCTGAATTTAACGGTTGCCAAGAATTAATTTCTAAAAATTTAGTTGACGACAAAGATAGTCTTCTACTCCGGTTGTCGCTTGGAATCTTCTCCTCCTCCTTATCCGATATTCATGCACGCAAAAACACTGATATTCACTAGTGGCTTCAAATACCACTAACCCCACCTTGTATTCTTGCCAACATCTTCCACGTTATTGTTTGAATGTATCTCATCCTCCACGCCTCAATATCATGATTCTCAGAAGAGAAATCTCTGCAAGTTCTTGATTCAACAACAAGAACCCCATCAGGACCAGCAGTTCCATGATCACAAAGCTTGATAGGAGTTTCCCGCCACTTTTATTTTTGTTCAAGTTTGTCTTGTCCAGTTGAATTAATCTGGTTTCGTGGGTATTCCGTATTGGTTATTGTTTGAAATGGAGAGGTTTTCTGAGAGAGAGAGTGCTCTGTTAGGTTATAATTTCCAAAGACCTTCTATAAACCATCCAGGTTCTTCTCCAGAGAGCCAGTATGGAAACTCAGATATTGATTTTACCGATGTTTTCGGTGGCCCACCGAGGCGATCGTCACTTCAGGAGGTGCAGTATAGTTTTTCTGAAACGACAGATTCATTTGCATCGCCAAGTGGTGATGTTGATACCAAGTTGTCTCGCCACAGTTTGTCTGGTCTAAATGACAAGCCAGTGTTTGGAGGTGAAAATGTCAATAGAAGGCGATATCCAAACGACGGGTTCTTTGGTGATATTTTTAGAGGCAGCGAATCTTTGGGTTCTTCTCCAAGGAAGCATGAACGTGATTCACTTTCTTCGACTCCAGGTTCAAGAGTCTTAAGCCCTGCTGAATTGCTGCCACATAGAGCTGATCCCTGGAGTCCATCACCGCCTGCACAATTCAGGTTTTGGCTTCATTCCGAGATGCTATTTGCTCTATCCTGTACGATTTAAATCTTATGATTTATATATATTTTTAATCAGTTGACATAAATCACCGATTGGGAATTCTTTTATACCATAAGTGTTGATGATGTCTTTTCTAAGGTTGTTTCAAAAGTTTTTCGGGATTAAAGTGATGTGGTAGTGGTTATTGATTATTTATCTTGCAGTTGTTCTTATCTGCACAATTATCTGCTTGGATTTTGGTGTCTTTTGAACAAATGCATCCCAAGAGCTCAAATATTGTACTGATAATTTTGCAGCCTCCCTGCCAAACTGATTAAAGGGACAGACTTGCCGACATTTATTTCTAGTGCCCGTGACCATCACAAAAATAAAGACGGGGCTTCAAATGGCATCAGCAATTATACATATTCTCCTTTGTCTAGATCTGCAAGCCCAACGAACCTCGTTAGAGACGAGTTGACTAATGATGTCTCTCGGCAGAGCGCTTTATCCAAGGAGCCATCTCTTAGTAGTGAGGAGCCATCAAACGCGACCAAACCTGAAGAAACAGACAAAAGCAGAAATTTGAAAAGGGATTCAGATGGTTCTGAAATTCCGACAAACAGAAACCAATTTCATTTTTCTATTTACAAGTGGGCAACCAAAGGATTACCTTTTGCGATGCCTCTTAGAGGAGCTAACAAATCAAGACTGAATGAGAAGTGTAAACTTCAGAGATGTTCAAGTACTAATGGATGGACAACATGCGAAGGTATAGCAAGAGAATTACGTTCAGCAACTCCACATGATATTGATATTCCCTCATTCAGTGGTCGAATGGAGCTTGACAAACAAGATGATCACTTCCTCTTCGACACAAGCATTCAGGGTGAACTAGAAGCGTGTCAAATTCTTGAGGACACAAGTTTCCCTATATCTGAGTTGGATACTCCAAGCAATCTTCAAGTGATTGTTGAAGATGATCCTACAAATCCTGCCTTAGGGACTTCAATAGAAACAAAACATCACTCTGCTCCTGAAACAGGCTTATTTGGAAAAACAAAGGAAGAAATTTCTGTAGTTACACAAGAGGCTCACAAGACTGAGTTAAAACCACGACGTTCCCAGTTAACTGAGAATGATTATGAACAAGGTAAGCCATGTTCTAGATCCAAGCATGCTCCTTGTGTGATATCTCTAATAACACATTTATTTTACCTGACAGGTATTGATGAGATGACTATTAAAACTGGTTTGAAACAAAGCAAGGTAAAAAACACCAAAAAATCATCTGCGGTTCTTGATGTTAGTGAAAATATAAAGGATGAAGACGAGACAGCGAATAGTGTACGAGTGGATAAAGCTAACTTTCAATTTCCACCTACAAAATCAAGGGACAGCTTTGGGAAGAACAGGGTTAGGGGAAAGGTCAAGGAATTTGTTAAGATTTTCAACCATGGAGTTCCAGAAAAACCCAATTTTGATCTTAATGACTCACAACATCAAGATTCTAGACGAAAGGAAAGGAGCAAATTCAGGACTGAGGATACCACAAGTGAGAAAATGCACTCGAATAATGTGTACGAGAAAAACATGCCAAATGCTTCAATCCGGGTACTCAGCTGAAAATGATTTTGCATTTATTTTGTCAGATTTTAGCAACAACAGATACAATTCGATAGTTTTCTTGATGAGAGTTATGTCCATCTCCTAGTGTATCTAAAATTTTCAACTTTGTTTTGGTAATTTTAAGGTGGATCCTGATACAACGGCGAGCAATCTCAAGTCCGCACGCGTTTCTTCTGGACGTAAGGATAGATCAGTGCCAGCTACAGGTATTTTTCTAGTAATCTTCAACCAGATGACTGCGGCTTGGATATGTAATTATGAGATGCGTGATGCGAGAGGTTATTTCAATTGCTTCATGTAAAACTGAAGATTTTGGATCCCATCGACCTGGACAATTGATTTTTATGTGCTTTTTAATATCAATTAGATTGAAAATGGTGAAGCAGCTAGGTATATTCCATGTTCAGCTCTGACTCATGATTCAAATATTCCAGTTGCTATGCAATTTCATTAGCAAGTGCTTCTTTTATTGAACTTGCTACGCCATTTTACAAAAAGGTTTTGGAACCGGTGTTGATAGTTATCAAAAATGTGATATGTGATGCATTAAAATGTTGTTGACAGCAGACGTTCCTAATGTCTCAGAATCAACCATTGGAGATCCAGATTTGTCCTTCCTCCTGGTATGAGATTCGTCTATATAACCATTAGTCATTTCTACTTTTTTTTGCGATTATTGTCCATTTGCTACATGTTGTTGTTCTCCTTCTGAAATTCAGCGCTGCAAAAAAAAAAAAAAAAAAACAAGAAGAAGGAAGAAGCCTGCATCTTTTGTTCTCATCTGTTGTGTCTGCGTATTGAAAATAATATCGAGGCTCAACTCTAAAGTGAACCACGCCGCTATCTGCTGCTTCTTCTTCTTGGAATGACTAACGAGCTAGTATACTTTTCCATGTGTGCAGATCACAGAATTGCCCCAGGATGAGGAAAGGGGGCCGCAAACCAGCGATAACCATGAGGAGATCCGAGTGAGGAAGGATACAAAGAGACTCCATTATTTCTTTCTTTCAACTCTACTAGGAATTAATAATCGAAAGTTATGCATTGCAGGTCATTAATGATAAAATACAGAAATGGTCGAAAGGAAAGGAAGGCAACATTCGCTCCCTGTTGTCAACTTTACAATATGTGAGCTTGCCTTATACGAAATTCTTTTCTAGACTGCAAATTCATTGATCTGAACTTTAATTACCATAGCCTCAGACCTGCATTTCCTATTTTCTCTGGTTTTCCTATAATTCCTCACCAAACCAAGTAAACTGCATTTCATCAAGTTCCAAGTCTCATCTTTCTGCTTTGACTAATTTAGTTTACCGTACAATTGTTAGAGTAGCTCTCTGGAAGGGCATACTTAGAACTGATATTGGCTGCATTCACAGGTTCTTTGGTCTGGAAGTGGATGGAAGCCTGTGCCTCTTGTTGATATAGTTGAAGGAAATGCAGTGAAAAGAACATATCAAAAGGCCTTGCTCTGTCTACACCCTGATAAACTCCAGCAGAAGGGTGCTACCTCGCATGAAAAAGACATAGCAGAAAAAGTTTTCGATATTTTGCAGGTAGTATCTAATTAAGTTTAAATTCTTGAAGTCAAAAGAATTTACCGACGGCCTCTTGAAGAAACCATTGCCGTTCTATATTCATCTAACATAATTAACCACTCCTTGCATGCACACAGGAAGCATGGACTCATTTCAACACACTCGGAGCAGTGTAACGTGTGACCAGTGAAAGCAAATCGCAATTTCTCATAGGTCAAAGGACATCGAGATGCTTGTTTATGAAAGTGCACATGATAAAATTGCATCTGTGAGAAAAAAAAATTATACTTGGGACTGTGGATAGGTATTTTGTTTGTGCGGTGTGCTGCTGTGTCCTGAAGATACTTCATGCTTGGTTGTCTCATATTTGAGATGTTATAATGGGTTAAACTTTTTATCAATTTAGAGCTTGTTTGGAAGAAGTACATAATAGTAATTTTTTAAAATATTTTTTATGTAAAAATATATTAAAATAATGTTTATTTTTTTATTCTTCTCCTCTAATTTATACTACTAGTTTTATAATGTAATTTTAACTATTTTTTTTTTATTTTTTTTATATAGAATCCACCAATAATATCTCAGACGGGACAAAACATATCTTGAACCTGAACTTCACTGACTTGTGAAGGACAGACGGAGCTTACACGTATTTGACTGGGCTTTTGTGTTTTTATTGGACCCGGTGAGGCAGTCCAATAGGCCCAGATCCGTGCCATATTTGGAATTGAAATTCTATCCCCTGCTCAAAAAAGACCGATGAATTGAAAGTTGAATCATCAAAGCTAACCAAGTGGCCCATTAGGAAAAGTCTTTGGATTTCTTTTTTAAAAAAAAAAAAATTAGAACCGTGGATTAAAAGTTTAGGCAGAATAATATTATTTAAATTTTTTAATAAAATAAAATATTTTTAGTTTGTTGTGTTTCTAAAACACAATATTCATTGGATATTGTTATTTTTAAATGTGATAAAATAATTATCATGATTTAAAATAGTGATATTTAGTGAATATTGTTTCTATGAAATGTTATAATTATCAATTAATTAATTGGTTAGATCAATTAATAATTTTATATAAAAACTATAATTTTATAATTTTTTTAAAATATATTTTATAAGTAAAAATATAAATTTTTGATTGAACTTGCAGAATTAAAAACAAATTTTAATTAAAATTTTAAAAAATTATTATTTACATAATAATTCTTATAAATAATTATAAATAGTTAGATATAAAGAATTATAAATAGTTAGATATAAATTTGTTAGAACTAAAAAGATAGCATGAAAAGAAAAGTTTTTCTTGGTTTTTATTGTTTTTTATTTTAGATTTTGTTTGAGATGGTGATAATAGTTGAGTTAAAAATATTTTTTATTTAGAAATATATTAAAATAATATTTTTTTATTTTTATAAATTATTTTTATTTTTAGCAGTTTAAAAATATTAATTTTTAAAAAAATAAAATGTTTTAAATGATTTAAACTGTATTTTTCCGCGTGGCGTGCGGATAACACGGCTGTCGTTTTTGTTTTTTCAAAAGTACGGCGAAACTTTGTGCGATGATTTCTTCTACGTTACCGGACCCCTCAGCTCTGACATGGCTTTGTCTGGCTTCTGAAACTTGCCGAACAGACAAGGTTGGACATCCATCAAAAATTGCCAAAAAAATTTATTCTTTACCGTGGAAGATTTGAATTGCTAACGGATTCCGTCATAGCTCCCATAGTTTAATAAGACACCATCCTTGTATTAATAATGCCTTTATACTTATACAAAACTCTAAAAGGCGTAGTATAATTATTGTGCACTTGTTTATAAATTAGTATTCTTTCTTTAGTTCGAGAGTAATTCAGTTTTTTACAATAGATTCAGGAGTGTCATTGTCCTTTCAACTTTTTTTAGAAGTAAAATAACTAATTTACTCACTAATAAAAAAAATTAAAAGTATTAACCAAGGGTGTTTCTATCATTTTTTTTTAATAATAACAAGATATTTTTTTTCTTGAAATAAATTTTTTTGACCATATATCTAGAAGTATTTTAGTCCTTTTATTAAGGTGTTTTGGTTAATACTATATCTAAGAAGGTATTTTAATTTTTTTATTTGATAAAATAGTATATAATTTTAAATTAATTTGGATGGATATGAAAACACTTGTAGGTATCCAAACTTAACAGCATCTTTAATGAAGAAGTCAAAATGAAGAGCTAAAAATAAAAAATTAATATTTTAGTTTTTCTTTACTTGTTTTGCACACTCTAAGGAGCAAGCCAAATAAAATACTAAAATATCTTTTTTCTTTCACAAATGCTATTTTTATATATCTCTTTAAAGAGTCAAAACCAACAAGGTGGGACCATTAAAAAATAAACCAATTAAATATAGCCATATAAAAAAAAAATATCAAATATATTAAAAAATAATAAAACACTTATTTTTTCAACTCTAATATAAATGGCTCTTCAAAAAACTTTTTTTTATTGGAATAGATATGGTAAAAAAAACTATATTTATACTATTCAAAATGCTATTTTATCAATTTAACTTTTTAAAATAGCATTTTTCATTGGAGATGCTCTAACCTTTAACTATATTATTGAAAATGTTGTCATGTTTTTTATTTTCAGTGTAGTTCATGTTGCCGATAGATATGAATCCTTTTTGTTTTTAATATATTTAATTTTTTTATTAAAAATACATGTGAGTCTTTTTTGTTTTTAATGTTTTAATTTTAATTTTAATTTTTTTTAATCGAAGACTGGGATTCTAAATTAAATGGCTAGTTGGTTTTAAAAGGAACAGCATATTTCACTTTAAGAACGTGTGTATAGTTTAAATTGACTATATTCAAAGATAGGGGCTCAATCATTACTTGCATTGACCTATACTTAACTGCATTATATACTGAAGGTGCTAGTTGAACTGCTTGTTTGCTGTCAAAAGTAATGGCTGTCGTTGCAGCTAGGAAAGCCCCTGCAAGTAGGAATACAAGAAAAAGAGAGATTAACGAACAAAGTAAAGGCATGCAGGGTTGCCAAACACATTGAACGGGGCTAAAAGAGAAGATCATAGGAATGAATGATCCCGGGGATTGCAAAATAAAATAGATGTGAAAAGGAGGCCAACGAATATCGGCAGAAATGCTAAGAAAATAATGATACGAATCATTTTAAAGCCAAGGTATATGTGTAGATATTAAATTAGAGAGAACCTTTGAGAGAAACATAAAGAGAATGAGTGTGGGGTGGAAAGCCGATCCGCAATGAAGAACATAACATATTTAAACAAGAATAAAACAATTCTCACACTATACAATGACACAACTGTGATGGCTATCAAACAAAATAGTGGATTAGTGACTATCGAAGTCCTCGGAAACGTAAGCTACAGCTCCCGAATTCTAACATTTACTTGCTTCCCAGCAATAATTATCACTCTTAAGGCTCTTTCATTTCATGGTTTGTGGAGGCTGCGAGCTGCACGTTGATCCCGGGCACTTTGACTCAGAAGTGTTTTCTTATACAGTAAATAATTTTTATCAATTTCGTTCCTAAGGTGCCAGACCTTTTTCAAACGGGTCTTCCCATCAAAAAATCATCACAGTGTTTTTTATACAAGTTGTCATGCTCAGTTGAGTCGCTGTAAATCCAAAAATACAAGGACTGGATTGAAAACTGGTGGGTAGATTGGAGACTGATTTGAGGCGCCGGCAAACCAAAAAAGTTGTGGTCTGTCTTTGACATTAAAGAGAGCTCACTCACATGATAAGGAAGGATTCAATGATAAAATTTGATATCTATCCATCTTTAATCACTTCGTTGCCTGAGATTTTGGTGGGAATGCCAGGGCCCATCATCTCTCTAGATTCCTGGACTTGATATAACGTGTGGGGATATTTCTGCAAAATATTTCAAACTTGCCTGAACTATTCGTTTATTGCATCCACGAGTTGCAGGAAACCTCATCTCAAAAAGATGTCTTGCTGCCCGTGATCAGCCGACCCATTTTAGGAAAACACATGCCAACTTACAAACCCTACAGTGCAGTGAATTATTAAAAATATTGTTTTTAAAAATATTTTTTATTTGTTAATATATTAAAATAATAATGTTTTATTTTTAAAACAAAATTATTTTAGCTGTTGAGATTTTGAAATAGCTAGTGGCTCCTGTTCTCCGTGAACATCTTACTTCTCATCTACTTACAGTCAGTCAAAAACTTTATTGCACCCGTGCGCAGAATTGGGATTCTGTCTCCTGTCTTTATCAGGATTTAACTCTTCCTTTTGTTTTGTTTTTTCGATGTTTCGGTGCTTACCAAGACTGCAATTTCTTGGTTGGGTATACTCATGTCCACATTTTAGTATTCTTGATTTTATGTTTTTTTTTTTTTGTTTCCTTTATGTGGTCGATTTTCTATTCACAATAAGAGAGAGTTTAATTAAATGTTTAATCCAGATCTTTATTTCTTTTAACTTTTCCTCCGGGAAACAGTTTGACAAACTTGAATACATCCATAAGTTGTGGCGCAATGATCAACGTATTGCAATGTGATTTCCCATAAATTCATGATTTTTTTATTAAAAAATAGCATTGTTCATTTAAAATATTCGTAAAATAACAAGTTATATATGTTTAAATTGGGAAACATAAAAATTAAAAATAATGCGAGTCTCACATCCAAATTTTAAAATCAAATCCTAAACAATACTTTAACCCCAATCCCTCATCCTCACTGACCCTAAACTCCAAAATCAAATCCTAAACAAATACCTTAACTTCAAATCCTCATTCTAACTAAATATTACAAGTTAACAAAGACAGCATGGTTGATTGGGAGTAGTTGGAATATTGTAATTGTTGTTGGCTAGCTTTCTTGATTGATAAATTATTAATTTTGATCATTTTTTCAATTCAGGTGGTTTAGAGTTTCAAATCATGCATACATGTTACAATACAATAATTTATATGAATATGCCTAAAAACCAAAGAAAATAAAAGAAATTCTAGTTGAAAATGGGCAAAAAAATAATATATTTTCTCCATAAATTAAATTGTTGAATTCCTTATAAATATCTATTATAATAGTCTCATGCCATCATACAAGTATAATGACGAGCATGTGTGTGTCTGTATATATATGTGTATATGTATATGAATATGTATAAAACTATATAAAAAATATAACCTCACTCATTCAATTCAGTTTGGACCGGTTTCCATGCAGTAGGCGGAGGCGGGTTGGGCTGGTAGGGGTCCCGGCCCCGGTCCCTGCAGGAAATACCCTATAAATATTATAAAAATAATTAAAAATTTAATTTTGATCTTTTTAATTTTTAATTTTACTCCTTTAGTTTTTTTTTTCTTGCTCCGTCCCTGTATCCATGGTGTTTGATTCAAATTATAATCCTTTGACACCATGTTTCAAAGAAGAAGAAAAAAAAAGAAAAAGAAAGAGAGAAAAGAGAAGAGTTGGCTTTTGTTGTCGCACACAACATATTTGTCGATATCGATTCAAGTTCTTATATCTTTAGACTTAAGTTTTTTAACAATGGCACGGACATCTTTAAATTTTGAAATAAAGAGAGAACGAGTAAAATAAAAGACGTGGCAGAAATTCTTGCCTAATAATTACCAGATGGACCCCGTACACGGCTCTGTGTAAAAAGAAGACATGTCATCTTCTTGAGCTTTATTCTTGAGTGTGTTTTTTTTTTTAAGGTTTTAATAATTTTATGGCATAAAATAACTTGGGAAGAGAGAAGATAAGAAAGATGATGAGCAATTCCACTTTCTTTTTTAAACTCCAAAAAGGTAGCATTGAAACTTTTGTACATACAGTTCTGATGCTAACGAAATTTTATTTGGAATCAAAATGAGACATTACTAAATCTTAAGGGGCTAAAATAATCCAGCCATTTTCCTTTCCTCCTCACCTAAATAACCACCATCCTTTATCTCCCTTGTAACCTATAAGGTAATGATGCTACCATACTAGTGTTAGAGGCATACACTGATACGCAGGAGAGATAGGAAGAGAAATTGACTGTTGGCTTTTACCCTGCAATAGTGTGTTGGGGCTACATAGTTTTTTATTTATTTTTTAGCCTTTTTGTTGTTTTGTGTCAGGGAGGAGTGAGTGTTTCAGAATCAGATAGGCCCTCCTTTTCACTTGTTAAGGGAGTAATTATTGCTCTCACTCACTGTGGATTACATTTCAATGGTGCTTCTTAGAAAGGTGGTTTTCTTGGGCTCTAATGCCTACTCTTACTGATAACAAATCTGTGAGTTCTTTTCTTAACTCGGTCCCTCTTCTTTTCTATTTTTTTGGGTTTAAGTGCTTTTCATTTAAGGGCTTTCTTGATTCTGGGAAACTTTGAAAAATAATTCAAAAAGAAGAGAACTTGCTGTCTTGATGCTTCATTTTAGATGTTGTTGGATCCCAAAGTTCTCTCTTTTAAAATAGTTCCTGAAATTCTTTACTCATAACTAAGCCAAACTGTATAATTCTATTCCTTGTAATCTTGTTTTTGGCTGTTCTCTAGGTTTACTGGTTTTTGTTTGATCTGTTACATTGTTGTGCTGTTACTGTTTATGATTTCAACTAGATCTGTAACATTTTTTCCTTCAACTACAAAATCTAAAGGCAATGCTGCAATTCCAGTTTCTCTTGTCGAGAAATTTGGTAATATTTTTTTTGTTGTTGGAAGAATTCATGACTAGAATTTCGGATTTAAAAGTTACTGCATTTTATGTAACTCAATTGATCATTTTCTATCCTAAAAGCCATTCTGTGAAAATAATTACTTCGGAGATGTAATTGTTTTGAAGTGATGACTCTTTGGAGTATAATATAGTCATGCTGCATGTAAGGGATTTAAGTACACGATTAGTGTCTGGCTGGACCTCTAGAGTACAAAGGAATCTAGCAATACACTACCCCGTTAATGTATTTTAATTAGTTGAGTTTTGTATATTTGGCTTAAGATGCTTTGGTTTGCCAGCCATAAGTAGTTGGACTAAGACTTGTTAAAAGTTTTGATCATCTCTCATGGTGAATTTGATAGTCTAAAACAATGTACTCCTATTTTTGCTAATTATTTAGGATGACAGTCAACTAGAGTTGCAGATGGTTGTTATGATTTTGACAAGTCTGCAGATTCTGCAATGTTGTATTCTATTATGTTTGAAAAGATTACCTAAAATATATTAATTTTTCTATTGACCGTTTCTGAGATTCAAATAATTGCCTAACAGGGGAGTTAAAAACTAAACAAGGGAAACAATGTGCTGTAGAGCCAAAAAAAAAACTCTTGCATTTAAGTTTCAGTGAGATCAACTAGAGAACAAGACATAACTAATAGATTTCTGTAGTGAAATGGATATGATCCACAAGAAGCAGGACTCTGATTCTCATGAAGCGTTGAAAGAATAGACTGTGATTTTGAGTTGGTTTTTTATTCATTTTTGTGGAAAAAGCTGTTGTTTAAATTGTTACAGCAGTTGCTTGTTTTTAATCTACAAAAAGTCTTTTGATTTTGTTCTTCTAGGGGCTGATGCTTGATAGTTTCTTGTATCTGCAGTTTGGGGGCCAGTATTAGTTGAACTTGGGTCTTACTCTAAGGAAATATGAAATTTGGATCAAAGAATGGATGGAAATCCATCATGCCCCTTCGTTTGAAAGGCAAATCAGCCACCCGCTTTTGTTTGTTTCCCAAACCAAGATCAGCAAACTATGGTCCAGGCGATACACCAGTTTATCTCAATGTGTATGACTTGACACCCATGAATGGCTATGCCTATTGGGCAGGCCTCGGCATCTTTCACTCTGGTGTGGAAGGTAAGGCTTTTTAGTTTCCTGTCTGGAGATCAGATCATCAAAGATAGGTTGCCCTTCGCTATAATGAGAAAAATTGAGCCCCAGATATCTTATTCTAGTTCCTCATTCTTGCTATACATTAACCAACCTCCAGCCAAACGAGCGCATGCTTTGTGTGTTGAATGAAAATACTGCAATGCAAGCAATGGATTAAAGCCCTATCCTGCTGCATTTTCTTCTTTTATATCACTCTCCAATTTGAAGTTAGTTTAGATATCATATTTTCTCACTGCCCTCTTTCCACTGTGCAGTTCATGGTGTAGAATATGCATTTGGAGCACATGACTACCCAACAAGTGGTGTTTTTGAGGTTGAACCTCGGCAGTGTCCAGGGTTCAAGTTCAGGAAGTCCATCTCTATCGGGACCACATGCCTGGATCCTCTTCAGGTTAGGGAATTCATGGAGCGGCATGCTGCAAGATATCATGGTGATACATATCACTTGATTGTTAAGAATTGCAACCATTTCTGCAAGGATGTGTGTTACAAGCTGACTGGGAAATCAATTCCAAAGTGGGTAAATCGACTTGCAAAAATAGGTACCTTTTCACTTAACCATTTATCAAGTAGAGGACTTAGAAATTGCTGCATGAAATCATTAACAGAAACATTAGGTACCTTTTCACTTAACCATTTATCAAGTAGAGGACTTAGAAATTGTTGCATGAAATCATTAACAGAAACATCTAGATTTATGCAACTGAAAATTTCAATTCTTAAGTACTTTTGACCTTGCTGGAACATAAATTGGTTGTGTATGCATGTTGGAGAAAAGAGAGAGGAAGTAATATACTTTGGTCTTTTAGTTTCTCCTATAGAACCTGAGATGCTGCGTGCACCTTTTTTTTTTTTTTCAAACTGTACATCCCCTGTAACCATCAGCATCGATAACCTCTGTGAGGGACTCACCTTACTGTAAATGTCACAAAAAGATGACTTGTAGACTCCCCATCCCTGGGCAGAACAATTTCTACGGCATCCATTCTTTTTTGGGGCAGACTGGCAGAGGGTCGATGGTTTTGGTTGTTTCTGTCAAAAATGTTCCTCTGCCCTGGAACTATTTCACTGGACATGGCTTATGCATTATGCAATTCCGGTCGCAGGAAAAGTCCATTTCCACTCTAAAAGGCCCCTTGCTGAAAATAGGGTTTTCCAAAAATGATAGTTTAATCATGTATTTCTAAAGGAAAAAAGAATTCTATGGACGAGATGAATCCAAAGAAAGCATTATCTTTATGTTGCGTGACTTCACCTAACAAGTGTTCACAGTGTTTATGTTGATCCAAAGAAAGCTGTCTTTAATTCTTAAATTGCATTATGTCACCTCCCAAGAATATATGATGATTGTCTTTATTTCCTTAGGTTCCACGTGCAACTGTATACTTCCTCAGTCCCTTAAAATATCTGCTGTGCGACATGACCCCTGCGGCCAACCTTATGACAGCGAGTGGAGAAGGTTGAGAACCGCTTTTAATTGCCTGTCTTCAATCTCAATGCGACAAAAGCAGCTGTCAACATCATCGTTATTGCTACAATCGCCTTTGAAAGGCTGCTTACCATGGGAATTGAGAAGGTCTATGAATGGTTCCTTAAAGGAAAGATGAAAACTACTTCCCAAACGGTTTCTTTAGCATCCATTGAGGCATTGATACCTCTGCGTGGTGATTGGCGACCAAGTCCTATATGGTTAACTGGTGGGTTTGTTCAAATGAATGGTTTTTGGATGTGGTGATTTTAGCACTTTCTGCTGTTGATAACCATTGGAGCACCCTTGTGAGTAGTGAGTTGTGCCTGATCTTTTTTTAATGTCAATGGCCATCTTTTGGCAGGCACATTTAATGGTATAATGTTTGTTCAGTTTGTATATACAACTGCCATTTCGCGCGCTATTGACTTCTGATAGGTTTTTCCTGTACAAGGTAAATGAAAAAAGGAGGGGGGTAATCATGAACACAAGCCACTAGAGATTCAAAAAAAAAAAAACTTGATTGTGTAACCCGAGTGCAAGAACCCTAGACGGACACTAAAAGGAGTCTAAAGCAGCAGGCTCTGTATTTCTTTAATTTAATCAGCCTGAGAATTTGCAGGCAGCAGTAAGCGCTTTTCAGATTTTGTTCCTACTATCATTACCTCAGAACATTGCCTGCAGCAATCTGGTTTCTTTAATATGAAGCTCAGGAGAATTGGAAAAACATGATGAACGTGCGCAGCCATTTAATGGCCCCTTTCCCCCACGATTCTTTGCAGAGACCATCTAGACAGAAGGTGATGCTACTTCTATAATTGCCAGAGTTCAAGAATTAACGTGCCTAAAAAATTTGTGTTAAGAAGATAACTTGCCCGCCCCTCAACAAAAATCTGAATTCATCAGATACAAATCAAGTACGCATTGTGAACTCTGAAATCTAATTGATCCTTTTAGTAGCAATGGTAGTGTATGAGCCACCTCTATGTGTAACATATAGAACTCCCCGATTGCTACCAGATAAAAAGATGTGGAATCAAAAGTAAATGCCCTGCTTTGTAAACGCCAGTTCAGCTCCACAAAGATTCTACAAAATCCAGGTAAATGCATCTCCAATCGAGGACATACGAGACACTATCCTGCTCATGATTCCTAGAGTTTTTAATCTTTTCTGTTAATCTTAGAATCGTACTGTAAAATATACAGAGGGCGAATCCTAATTAGCATTGTCAAAACAAACCTGCAGGAACAGGAAACAGATAATTCAGTTTAGCAGATGCAACGTTCTATCTACAAGGGTTACAGGGAATTCAGTAAACTCACTGAGAAAAGCATGTTTAACACAAGTTACATAATCCCAGAAAGTTCCTAAAACTAGTTTGTTTGCCAAACATTCACCAACACCTTTAAAACTGTATTCAATGGCCACAATTCCCATAGCAAGAATTCACAAGTCAATACCAACATCCTTTTCTTATCCGAAAAGGTTGAGTATTATCACCTTGTGTTTTGACTGTTATTCATGAGCAAATGCCCATTATAATGTTAAAAGCTCAACCCAGAATAGATTATCAATTGGAAGCTAGGCCATGAAATTATCAATCGTCCTTCTGATGCAAAACATTAGGCAGGCTATTATTACCATTCAGAGCAGCATGATATATTCGCTTCTCAGCAAGTCCAATATCTGACATTATTAAATGACCCTGCAGCCAAAATAAATGCAGAAATCAAACAATTGTTGGTACATATGGCAATTTGGGATACAATTCTAAAAATTTAAATGAGATCACAGTCATGACTTCTGATTGCATAATTCTAAGTTACGAGAGCGCGTATGACCTTAGAAATGGAAGAGTAAACCACCACAAGCTTATCAAATTGTCTCAAACCGTTCAATATCCAATGTAAGGGAAATGCATACCTCACAAGCCATCAACCGTCGGACATTGCTAGCATATAGCTTTGGATCATCCTTCTCTTCTTGTGATGGGTAGTAAACAGGAAGCCATATTGCTTCCATTTGATTCATGAATTGACAGAAAAGATAGAAAGCATGACCTGCCTGCAAAATGAAGCACATACTGAAGCTTAGAGAAAAATTTAAACATATTAGTAGGTCTGAATTTTCTAGCAGCATCATTTCTGTACTAACACATGCAAAAACATAGATGAAAAAACAGCAGAAAGACTACCCAGGGAACTTCAAATCCAACTTCACATAAATGTTTGGTGCATGACCCTGTAGAGGCTATAAACCTGGCTGTCTAGTTTCTTCCAAGTATAATTGATTTTATCATGAATGACATGAATAACTGGATAGACAAAAAACTGACCTGTCTGCTCTTAAACCTTGAACCTCGCATTTACTAACATTTCTGTGAAACCAAGCAAAGTCCATTTCCACAAATTATTCATAGCTTCTCTTCTTTAATGGTTGACCAGGCACTTAACTAGATGTTCTGACTTCTACAAAAACTCTAAACTCAAGCCACCAAACAAAAAGTTCTCATCAAAATTTCATAAGAAAAACTCACCCCAGATACTGAATCCCAGGCAAGACTGAATCGCTGGTATGGATACCTAAGAATCACTGGACGTACAGGAGCTGTAGCTAAGAATGCACCTGTCTTAAATGGTAGAAGGAACTCTCCGTTTGTTGTCGTGCCTTCTGTTGTAAGATTAAAGATGATTAATTACCTTTTAGTCTGCTGAGCACATCATAGTCAAGCTATATCACCCATATTGGGGAGGCATATAGTGTTGTGGTCACCCAAGACAACATTCAAACATGCAATAATAAGTGCAGTTCTGTTCTTTAACCATTAATTTAATACTAATTATATGTGTCCTTACAATTGAATGCAACTCATATATACGAACAACCCAATCTCTTATCAATTTGGAGAAAAGGAAAAAATATCCCTTTTCATGCAAAACAATTATAAATACATCAGGCAATTTATGAATCACACAATGGGGAAACCATAAGAAAATGATGAATTTAACAGATCCATTAAGAAAAAAAACTAACGTCGTGTTTGTTTTTGTATTTCAAAAACACTTTTAAAAAAAAATTGATTTTTTTTATTAAATTCGAATTAATATGTGTTTAGTGTTTTCAAAGCATTTTGATGTGCTAATATCAAAAATAATTTTTAAAAAATAAAAAAAAATCATTAAAATGTATTTTAACACGAAAAGTTATTTGAAAAGTGGAGATTTTACATTAGATTCATCGCAAAACACTATTAATTATTTGAATAGTTTTTTTTTTCTCATTCCTTTGGTGTCTTTTTTTAATTATTTTTAATTTAATTTTTATAAAATTATCCAAATCTTATGATGAGGACAAGTCTAACGAGTTAACTCAATTTACTTGAGTTTTTTCATCTTTTTACTAACTAATTCTTTTCTTGTAAATTCATCATTCAACAAAGGATTGATTGAGAATCAATCCTTATAATTTATTTTGATTTATTTTCTATGAGATTATTTTCATTTTATGATTTAGGTCCAGGGATTAGTGAGTCAACCCGGGTTGACTTAAGTTGTTTTTTAATTGATTTTTTAATTTTAATTACATTCTTTAATTTTGGATTTACTGAAGATCGAGCTTCATAATTTTTTACTTTATATGAGGTTATTTCAGTTTTATAATCGGAACCATGAACTTGAGTTAATCAGTTGAATAGAATTTTTTTTTCTTTTTCTAATTGATATATTTTTTTCAATTTTATTATTTAATATTGGATTTATTGGAAATTAGACTTTATAATTTATTTTGATTTTCTTTCTATGAAATATTATTGTTCCATGACCTAATATGTGGATTAACAGATTAATCCAAATGAATTCAATATGTTGTCTTAATTTGTTTTAAAAAATTCATCTTGAATATTTATTTTGAGTCAAATTAAGTTTTTATATAATATTCAGATTGTTTTTAAACCTGTCAAGTCGATCAAATTATATTAAATCAATTATCATAAAATTGTTTTTTTTTTAAATATACTAGAAAAAACATTAATAACACTTAAATTTTTTTATATTAAAAAAATTAATCCAACCAGCAACGTTGTGCAGGCAGGTAATCTAGCAGATACTAACCAGGAAAAAGCATCATCATCGGAGCAGATCTATTTTCGTGAGCTTCTTCGACTCCTTTAGTCACAACGCCTGCAAGGAGTGGAGGAGGGCACTGAAATTTCACAAATAATTACATTCTCATTGTTAAAATATATTATATTACTCAGCAAAAAACAACAGTAGTATTACGCATGCCCATATTCCATGTTTTTTAATTAAGTAGTATATCCCAGTATCGGTGCTCCGTTTCCCCAATCCAGATCCAGTGAGGAGTTTCTACAGTCAAAACAGCCATGAGCTTTTCTTCTCTAGCGGTGATCTTAATTTCTCTATTGAAATCACCGGGTACTGAATTATGGTCAGAGTAGTGGCTGATAAAATATGCCACGCAGCTTGAAAATTGCGAAAACCTATGAACATGAAATCTATGGCACACACTAATCGAGCTTCGAAAATAGTCCAACACTTAAAGCTAAACACTACTAAACCAAAAAGAAATGCTGAGAGAGTAGCTAACCACTTAGTTTTCACCATGCACCAAACATCAATAATCTGTGAACCTGAAACACCCTTGAAGTCAGATGACCTGGAATCCCGCTGAACATATACACAACCAAGGCACTTGCTGTAGAAAATAAGCAATGGGCATCACAACCTTCCCCCATTCAAACCACATAATACATGAAAAGACATCGATATGTCATTCAGCAACATCAGATGGAAACCAACAGTAATGGAAATAAATTTTCTGATAAACATAGTCCATACGTAGTATACTAACCTGATGAGACCAACTAAAGGAAGTTTAGCCACTGATCTCTTCAGAGATAAAATCCCGGTTCAAAATCATCACAATTAGAGAAACAGAATTGTGTCAATAACACAACAAGAAATGCTGTCGTCAATTAAACTCCAGATTCCAGCATAAGTAAATTCTAAGAGACTAAAGTCTAAATAGTAAACAAGAATCAGAGCATGAACAAACCTTGGCAACAAACCTTGGAAAAGAAGCAGACATGTGGTACAAGATATCTAAATACGAAACATGATTTGATAGTATTGCCCCCGATCTTTCCAGATCTTCAGATTGATCTTTTCCCTCATTCTGCCCAGAAGATTTTAAGAAATGGAGAGGTAAAAATAAACAAGAGTGAGTTCAGTTAGAGCAGAATTTAAACGTAATTAGAATTAAGAATAAATAAATAAAACCACTACCGTCATAATCATATCATTAATTCCTTGATATTGTAATCTCAGGCATTAATCTTGATTGAAATTTTTTTTACGAGAAACAGAATCTAAACAAAGTAAAAAACATCAACATCAAAGCATAAATAAGGTCACCACTACAATCATTATCAAATCATTAATTACACTAGCTCCCAAAAAAACCAAAACATAACGATGAGCAGCAGCAGTAATAAATATATATATATACCCGGGAGGAAGATTTAATTTGATTAGGCAGTTCAATATCTCTATAGCTTTCACTAATCCAATAAAACCCTAACACGAAAAGCATTAATCTAGACAAAAACCTCCCACACCAAACAATAACCGCCCTTCTCCACCCTCCCATATGAGCAAAATCCTCCTGCCCCTCCTCCTCATCCCGATTCGGCGCCGAAAACAGCGTACAAACCTACAAATAACATAATAATTAATACACCACCAATATAACCAATGCAAGCACGAATCGTATCGGCAATAGTGTAACCACCGCGATTGCTGAAAGAACTTTCTCAACCAATGGTAACTCCCCACGTCCCATCGAACCGTACACGTCACTGCGGACGAATGCAACAAAATTTTTCTCCAGCTCCTCTATGTTCTTCTCTGTTGTCACTGAGTTGACTCGGTTCGGTTCCGATTTAAGAAGCGGACGGTCGTCTTTCGAGTAGGACCCTTCGTCTCGGGAAGACGTGTGGGGTTGTTCGGGTTTGGGGGGGTCCGGATTCATGGATTTGAGCTCGGTTTCCATGATGGAGAGAGAGTAATAATAACTATAGTAACCGGGGATTAGAAATCATATAATAATTGGATAGATAGAGTTCGGGAAGGATAAACAGATCTGACTATGGAACGAAAGGAAAGGAGTGTTGCATGGCATGGTATTGGTTCCTCTCGCCAGAGAAAAGAAGGAAGGTTGCCGTTACGGCTTGCACTCAAAATATCCTTTAAACATTGGGTATTTGCCTATATAGGACGTCATGGAAACCGTTAGGATATGATGCAGCTGGTGTGAGATGATGGATGACGAGGTAATGTTTCAGAAGAAGGTGATTCCATGAAACTGCACTGGTTGTTAAAACCGGATTATGCTTCTTCAGGAACAAAAACAAAAATGATTACCTTCTCCTTTGTGAGATGGACACGACAATGAAGGGAAAGAAATGTTATTAATTAACATTTTTTGCCCCAAAATTCATAAAATAATTACACAAGTGATCATATTTGTTTAATTTATAATTAAAAAAAAAAGTAAATTACAATTATAACCAAAATAAAAAATAAAATTATTTTCTGACATGCATGCTATAACATATATTAAAATATACTTAAACATGCTATAGTATGCTATACACGCGAGGTTTTAGTCCAGTGGTGGGAGAGGTTTGTTCCCTTTCTCCGTCTCTGGATTTGAGTCTTATCATGTACGTTTATCACCTCTACGGTATCTTATCTGTTTCCTAGGCTTGCAAAATGTTCAGTGAGTTGTGGGGATTAGTCGTGATGCGCATAAGCTGGGCCGGACAGCTCATGTAAATCAAATATATATATATATATATATATATACACTTAAACAAAACTATCAAAAAAAAAAGTTGAAAAATGGTTCCTGTCTGAGGACTCTGAACACTTTCCATGAAACAAAAAAATCCTAAATATACTAATATACTAGTTTGAGTGTTCTAGTGTATAGTCTAATCAGTGGCCATGTATTTAACATCAATTCATCCTCGAAGATGAAACTATTTTCCACTTTGTCACTTTCATTTGCTCGACATCTCTGATACGGATTATAACAAGGAAGTGATAATTTTGTACTTCGCAACAAAGAATATTGAAATGTTCTTTTCCATGTAATTTATTTGTTATTATTATATTGATTAAGACACATTAATTTTTTTATATTTTCATGCATAATGTGGTGGCTTCGATGCTCTTAAAAGAAAAAAAATAAATAAATTGGAATCCATGGATTTTTAAGTTTTTTATGCTTTAATTATATAATACAATGAGTAAACTGTCTTGAAAAATTAAAAAAATAAAACTAATGTCCACGAACATTTTTCTATTTTTCTAATTGCTTTTTAGTTATAATCAATTTAAATAAAAAAAACAATCCAATCTTTTAATAAACATAAATATAATTAAAAAATAAAAAATAATTTGCTCATGCATGACACACGCTAGCATATGGAAAGTTTCGATGCTCTTTAGATGATGCATGCATCATCTTCATATGATCAAATACTATCTTCGGAAACAATATTAAAAGCATTAAATTATCCTCTTTTTGGTGGTCAGGCGTATATGCATGGAGTTATAATTGGGTTCTAATAAAAAAAATTTCTTTTTTTCTTGCTTTTCTCTCTTTCTGCCTTGGATTTCTTGCTTATCCTTTAAAAAAACAAATGCATCTGTTATTTTGTATTTGTATCGATTTTAGTTTTCATTATTTTAATTACTATTAATTTTGCTTTTGATGCCTTTTGAAATTGATGTTATTATTTTTTTTCATTTAATTTTTGTATCTAATTTGATTTTTATTCTTTTGATTACTATTTTTCTATCCATTTCTTGATTAATTTTTTTCAATTTCATCCCTCATTATTTTATTTAATTTAATTTAAGTATCCAATTTGATCTTCATTCTTTTGATTGCTATTTTTTATCCTTTTATTGATTTATTTTATTTTTAAATTTCATCACTTATTATTTTATTTTATTTATTTATTTATACTAGAGTTGATCCTTGTTCTTTTAATTACTATCTATTTTATTTTTTAATTTTGATTGATTGAGAATTTTGCTTCATGATTTTTTCGAGTTGTCTTCTATGAGTTAACTCCATCTTATGACCTCAAGTTATGAGTTTCAAATATTAGACCGATTTGACATTGGTTTTTTTTATTTAGGTTATTGGGTCTTTAGCTTTGTGATCTCCCCCCTCTCTTTTTTTTTTATATATAGTTATCTTGATATCCTAAGTTGCATGTTATTCAAGTTAACTCGAGTTGATTCAGATTTGTTTTATATTTTCTCTTGTTGATTTTTTTTTCTAGTTGATTTCATTGTTTTATTTGAATTCTCTTATACAAGGTTAACCCTTACTCACAATTGAGTTATAAATTTGGCATGCTAACTTAAATCAAGTGTTTTTATCATTTTTTAAAATTGATTTTTTTTAATTCATTATTCAATATTTGATTTTTAAGTAATTTAGTTTCAAGTTTTGTTTATTTTTCTCTTCATGAGTTTATCTTATTCTCATTTATTTTTTACTTAATTATCAAATAAAATCATTAAGATATTTTAAAAATATTCAGAGTCAATCTTTTTATAATATTGTTAAGAATTTATTCTCCTTGATTATCATCGTCGTTAGTTTTTTATATTTATATTATTAAATTAACTGGATTTATTAAATTCATTTAAATCAATAATCAATATATTAATTTTTTTTTACTGTTTTAAAAATATTATTATTTGTAAGTATTTTTTTATATCAAAAAGATTAGCACAAGTGCACAGTCTAGATAAAACTAAAAGTTATAGTTCAGGACTTTATATGGTGAAGGTTGCTTAAAAAAACATGCATTTGCCCTTGATCCACCAGTCTACAGCCCGATTAGACAGTCCTAAAAAAGGACGAACTTTCAGACTCATCTGCATCCTTAGAAAATGCTCAAATAATGATTATATATATATATATTTTCCATGTGATGATTCACTTTTATTTTTTTAAGTTCATATCAATAGAATATTGGGAACAGCTTATAAATTATTAAAAAGAACTAAATCACCATTGAAAAGTGCCGCAGGTGCATATCCATTGTAATTATTTATTAGAATAATATGATGATATTTTTCTTTCTCTATCTAAAAACTTAATACTGTCTACAAGGGTATTGAGATTTTTTCGTTGATTATTTGTTATTATTAATAAAGTAGGAATAAATAATTATTTTTTTATCTTGATTACACAATAAAAATACTTAAATGCCTTTGACAAAAAAAAAAACCTGGTATGGTATCAAGAGGTACTTTAGTGTTTTTATGATAGTTTTTTTTAGTTTTTCTAATTTAAACCAATGAGAAATTTGATTTTTGAATAAATATAAAAAAATAATAAATATTTAAAATGAACTGTGAAACGATAAAAATACTCTTAAAATAACAAATTAAATCTCATGACAAGGTATGCTTTTATTTTTTTCATAATGTTTTTTTTTGTTATCATCAACTTGGTTGAATAAAAAAAAGGAGCATGCATGGGAGGTTTATTTAAAAATTATCATTGAAAATGATACAATGTTTTTTTCTTGTTGGTATGACACGCATGCATCACTGGTAGAGGTCTGGTTTAGCACTAGTGGATCTTTTTTTCCTTATTCTTTCTCTCCTTTTTAAAACAAAAAAAACAATTAAAAAATAAATATAAAAATAAAAAAAACAAAAAAAATTAAAGAGGAGTTTTTAATTTTCAATTGAAGGATGAAATTAAAATAAAATTAATAAAAAATTCAAAAAATAAATTATAAATTAAAAGAATGAGGATCAAATTAAAAAAAATAATATATGATAAATTAGGATTGGAAGATAAAATTAAAAATAAATATTTTTTTTATAAAAAGATCAAAAATAAAATTTAAATATAAAAAAAATAAGAACTAAAATTAAAATATCAATAACAAAAAAAATTAATATAAAAATTTTTGTTAAAAAATAATTATGTTAGTGAAAAACTACCCCATCATGGTTGACCCGCGCCATCTCACTGGGAAGAAAAAATAACAAGAATTCAAATGACACATTGAAATAGCATATTTGACAGCTAATAATTTTTTTAATTTAAATAATATTTAATTTATATTAAAAAATAAATTGCCCTAGATAAGGATAAAAAAGCCAATGGACACCAGATTTATTGATTTATTCGTTTTAAAGGGTAAAGTTGTGATTTTATTGTAATTTTAATAATAAAAAGACAAAAAGCCTTTGTTTGCCAATTCTAAGATTTTTGTCGGGAGAGGTAAATTTAATGATTTTATTATGATTTAAAAAAACAACCCTAATCAAATATCTTTTAAAAAAAAATATACATATCTTTAATGACCAATAACCCGTGCAAAAAAATCAAAATACAGCAATTGATTTATTCAGGAAGGGTAAAATAGTAATTATCTTATTATAATGAATAGTACTATGAGTTATGTGTTGAATAATTTTCCCTTCCCCTCAAGCTTGATTCGGTTTTTTTTTTTTTTTTAATGTGATTTCACTGAAATCATTTCAGTAGTCAAAAAGTTATGGTAGATTGAAAAAAAAAAGGTATGAAGACGACATTAGTATTTTTCATGAGTAGATGGACTCAATATATATGAAGGACCAAATACACTATGAATCCAAATCTGTTTCATTTATATAGCGGGAAGCAGAACGAAAGGCAAGCAGACGAGACAAAGGAAGGGCAGGTAAGCAAGCGCCAGGGATTCCATCTCTTCTCAATTCTCTCCCGCGAAAGATTTCCATTGACAAAGAAATTGCTGTCTCGCATCACCATCACCATGGATCCCAAGCCTTCACCAACTCCACAAAATTCCAATCAAACCCCTAACGAACCGAGACAAAGAGACTTTTTGAATCATTTAGAGGTTTACCTTGCAAAACGAGATGGGGTTGACAAGCTCCTCAAGATCTCACGTTACGCAACCAAGATCATCTTAGCTTCATCCCTCCTCCCGGAAACCTTAATCTTAACGAAACGACTCAAGAGTTTCGAGTCAAGTGTTGGCCTCAGTCGCAAGGCATTTCGACTTGGGAAATTTGTTCAAGATGTCAACGCATTGAGGGACTGTCCTTTTGATACAAAACAAGAAACCATACTCTCAATCTTTGCATATGGAGGTGAGGGTTTGTATTATTTTGTTGAGCAGTTTGTTTGGTTGGCTAAATCGGGTTTGATTGATAGCAAACACTCCAAAAGTTTAGGAAAAGTTAGTGCGTGGGCGGAGTTTGTTGGGTATATTGGGAGTATTTCTTTGAAATTTAGAGATTTGAAGAAATTGAGTGAAGAAGAGGTCTGTCTGGAATCGAGCATTGCAGTTACAGTTACGAGAGGAGTTCGGTGTCAAGAGGGAGAGAGGAGGTTGTGGAAGCTGAGAGAGAAGAAGTTGATGAAGAAATTATCTATTGTGCAGGATTTTGCTGATGGGTTAATGGCCTTGGCTGATATCCGTGACGGCAGAGGGCGATTTTCAGGGCCGCTTTTGATGTCTTGTGCTGGGCTTTTATCTGCTCTGATTAGTACTCGTAAGAATTGGGTCTCTTGCTGAGATTGACAATTGCCGCGGAAGGTATGCTGTTAAGGAATTCATTTTATCTTGATTCTAAATTATATTGAATTTGATGTTTATTGTTGTTGGAAGAAGATGTGAAAGTAATCTGTGGATTTAAAACTGAAATACGAGATAAGTCTTGGAATAGGAGATGTGGTATCTGAGTAATAAAATCAGACCGTAACAATGGAGCCTTATGATCCATTCAGTATTCCATTAATTGCGTGATGTGCAGGAAGATTTGCAGCTGCAAGAGGAACATTTGGGTTTCTTAGAGATTTATGCAATGATAGAAAATAAATTTTTTTGCTTGAAAGCCTCGGTATTAGGATGGAAAAATAACAATAAAAATATGCCCCTAGACTTGCACTTCTTCTTGTATCATGTGACCAAAACATGCTAGAATGCTTTCTCACTACTCATGGCTTCTGTCAGCCCTCAGGTACCTCTCTTCTATTCAACTGTTATTCCGGCCAGAATGATAAACATCTGGCATCTTTGAACTCCTTAGGTTGTTATCTTGCAGACAGAGATAAGATATTGTAACAGTTGCAATAGCATCTGCTCCCCTCTAAGAGGCGGTGTAAAGTTTGCCAATTATTTGTCAACAAATTTAACAGAGAGAGTATGCACCCATCGTAGATAACAAAAGAAACGAACCCTGAGCAGAAGAAACAGAAGAAGAGAGATGAAAAAAAAAGCAAAATCCCGCCACAAGTTCTAGTACTAGGAAACCATTCATTAAGGTTGTCTTAAAAAATGAGAAATATAAAAGAATTTTGTGCAGTAATTGCATCCTCCACAAGTTCAAAAAGGAGAAGGGAACAACTGGCAGATAAAAGAAGCCATGAGAGATTTCAATGCCTGGCATCGAAATCAGGGGCTCCTACTTGCTTAGACTTGGAAAAGTTTCAGCCCACCTGAGTTCGACCCATACGATTGTTGCAGAGATTTTTTCTTGGAGATGTATCTCTAGCTTCCCACTGTAATCAACTCAATGGCAAGTCTTTATCCTTCACGTTTTCTTGCTCTGGCTAAACCGTATCGAGGCCCATGCCCATCCATTAAGAAGTGAAATCAAATCTCTGGCTGTTTTCCTCCAGTTTATGTACCACATTCCTCCCAATAACAGAATCAAGACAATCAAGCACGAGACTCTTGAGATTCTTCATACACCTGTGAGCAGCAAGGTTAATTTAATCTCTCAATGGCATATCAAAAAGAAGAAGAAGAAACCGGAGAAGTCAATTTTGAAACTGCTCCACAGGGATCACGACAAGCAACTCTTAACATGTATTCATAAATTAAGCGCGCGCGCACGGAAGAGAAGAAGACGAAGCATGCATGCCTTTCAGATGAAAACAAGAGCTGGTAATAACAATAAAACGAACAGGATTTTGGATTAGGAATGTTGGGCTCACTTACATGCAAATGTCACGACTAGACAGCATCTTTTTGTAGCGTGGGCATCTGCTTCAACATGGACGTGGATTTTGCTCTTTTTGAGGGTTCTATCTTAGCTAACAGCTCTGTATACACTTGGAACCGCACCAGAACAAGGAAAAACAAACACACGCTTGGCAATCATTAACATGAAAACATGTTACATCATTCATCAAAATGTTATATCATTTTATTATTAATTTCAACGGGTATATGATCTAGTTTTGAATTCAAGAAAATGTTATGAGAGAAATTTTGTTGATCGCATCAATCTACTGATAGATTTCTTTGTCTCGGAGCTTTTGTGAAATTAGCGTCCATGAGCATAAAATCACAAGATCATGGTATACACTCACAAGTAAAAGTTTTTTAAAAAAACAAAAATTACAGATGCATAATACACAATGTAAAGCGTTATGCTTTCTTATTGAGTATCAAATCAATGGGTATCAGTTACTCTTAGTTTGCTGTGCCGGTTCCACTGTCACACAGAAGGATGACACGTTGAAATACAGAAAAAAGAAAACAAAGAAAGAAGATAAATTTCGAAGTTAAACCAAATTAACTCACTTGCCTCACATAAAAATCCCCTTTCTCTGAAGCAAATTTATCAGTAATTCAATGGCGGTTGGATGTGACTATTGAGGTGGGGGTCCCAGCACGGCATCCACTATAGTTCTGGCTTCTGTCTCCCCAGATGGAACAACACCTTCTGCCTCCGCTACCACTGCTTCCTCTCTAAACTTCTTGTAAATGTCACCTTCGTAAAATCTTCTTGTCCTACACATCAAGATAATTGAAACAAGAAACCCCAAAAATGTTGCTGCTGTAATTATAACAAAAGCCTCTCTAAAGCAATGCACCCCGGAGCAATTCAAGTCCTTCCCTGCTTCTCTCTTAAGACCTAAAGCTTCCATTTGTTTCAAGGCCTCTTTGTCATATAAATGACCAGCCACTTTCACATTTAAAATATAAGATCCAACACTATACAAGTTAGAGAAATGCTTAAGGCCAAATATTTCAGATATGATGGCAGACACTAATGGCAATTGTGCTCCAAGGCAGAATCCAATAGTGATTGAAGAGATGTAAAGCGAATGTTCCACTCCAAAAGCGATTAAAACATGGCCAATAAAAGAGAAAAGGATAACAAAAGTGAGCATCAGTGGACGAGGGAACTTGTACTTGGTCAAGGCTACTTCAGAGGCAAAACTTGCAAGGACTCTGCTAAGGAAATTCCATACACTCACAAGGGATGTGAAGGAACCTATATTATGAGTTTTGTAGCCTAGTGAGTCCGCTATCTGACCCAAATTGCCAATAGCCGCTAATGCCCCGCCAACGCCACAAGTTGTTGCGATTAAGATAATTAGCATGTCAATGCTAGAAATAGCTTGCAGTATGGTATAGCCCTCACCTCTACCTGGTTGATTGAAAATGTTCACGATGCAAGAAAATTGCTCCAATCTTCCTCCCAGTGGTGGGGTTACAACTTACAACTGCTGAAGGATTTTCAGCAACGACATTTAATTGAGAATGGTCATTCAGGTTCTGCTTCTTGCTTTGCCAGAGAGTGAATTCTTCTTTTATGACAATAGCAAGTGGAAGAAAGAGTAACGCAAGAACAAATGTGGCACTTGATATATACTCGGATCTAGTAAACTTGAGCTTATTGTGTATGATGATGATGAGCATGATAAACCCAGCAGGGCCCAGGGCAGTATAGAGGAATTTGTAGAAAACTTTAAGCACCTTCTCTTGTTGAACAACTTTCATAATGCGGATTGTTTGTAGAAAAAGTAAGGGAACAATGGCTGGAATCTAAGCAATGAGCAAGATAAGAGACTTGGAGTCGTTTCCATAGAAAGCATGGTATAGTTGTGTCATAATTGCGCCGCTTAGACCGATCAGCCCCTTAAAAAGGGCCTATAACACTACCTCGGCTTTCAGGGAAATTCTCACACACGTAATTAGAGCTCCAGTATTAGGATATGATGCTGCATTTGTGGCAAGACACGTGTACAAACACACTTGCCACAATCGGGGTTTGTTTATGCCACCAGTGACTGTTACCCATATCAAGAAATATGCGCCGAAGTTCATGATTGCACCGATGGAGAGAACCACCCAAGATGGCATATTTCATAAACAAGACCTGCCGAGACTCCAAGATTGCCACCTAAATCTTTGAAGAAGCCTAGAGTATTGAGGGTTGTCTGATCATATCCCAAAGATGTTTTGATATCACCGGAGTAGAGACCAAACATGTAGCTTGTTCCATTGACTGACATAATCAGAAGTGAAGTAAATATCGTAAACCATCGACTGGATAGTGTCTGCAAGCTGAAGCTCTTCATTTCCTTTTCACATATGAACTCAGCCATTAGCATTTCTTTTCCTGGTAGAGAGCCACTAATGCCGAAGGGTCTTTTTTATACCAATAAATAAATGTCGGTGTTTTTTAAAGTCAATTGACACTTCCAAATTCGCATGATTGAAATCACGCCATTCCCTCTATGTGATTTGAACCAGTCACCAACTTACAAAGAACTATAAATTAAGAAAATGACCTTATTCTCAAGCCATGGAAAAATGAATGATATTTTTTCAATGATTCTATTCTCCATATGCCAATGGTTGGACTTGCTTGCTTGGCCTTTCACTTTGGGGAAAGGGATCGAATTCTCATTTCCTCGGCAGTCGAACAAAACCTAATTGCATCCATCAAGTGGGCTCTCACATATAATTCGGCTTCATATAAATCCCATCCATCACTCCCCATTTTGTACACCACTTTTGTTTCTTTTGAGTAGATAGCCATCAAGGCGAGGAAGTGGTTCTTCGATGTGATTTGAGCAAAGTTAACTTACTATCTTTGATATTCTTGCGCAAAGAGAGGCAAGTACCCTTCTAATCCTAATTTTGCAGCAATTACATTCATAAATGCTTCCCTGTTCGCTTCTCTACAAACGTTTTGTTATTATCCATGAAAATTTTATGTCCCATCTCCTAATTTTTTATCCAGAATATTTTTTGTAATATCAATAGCAAGATCCTAGTAGAAACCAAGGGATTGTTAAGCGGTGTTTAGCTAGGGGCTCGGGGTTTATTCCTTTCAAGATCTTAGGATTAAATCTTATTAGCATCAAATCTCTTGGGATCAAGAGTTGCAAGGCTTAACCTCGTATAAAAACTGATTTTGAACTATAGAAATTTGATCTACTACACACAAGCTGGTTCAGAATACCCTGTATTTAAAAAAAAAAAAAAAAGATTTTAATAGACAAGAAGCATGACCATCTCTTTGACCATGTTTTCAACTCATTATTAACCATTTATTATTTGATGTTAGCAGACAAGGAGCATATACATAATTTAATTTTTTTTCTTACTAGAAACATATGTTAACAACAACAACAACTACTACTATATTTTGTTTTACATTCAACAAAAAAAATTAATTTGAGCCACCGTGAAGCACCACCAATTATCCATTCTTACACTGTTACCGTAAACCTCAATATACAAGTTGCAAGTATGAATGTTGAAAAATGAACCATGTGTCACCATGAGGAGGAGAAGGTAAAAGAGAGAAGGGATTATAGAACAAAGAAGATAGCTGTAACTCCTATTCTAGTGTTAGAAAGATTGCCACGACTCGGAGAGGAAGAAGGGATGTTGTTAATTTGCGCAGGTGATATGAAAGCCCAAAAACATGGTACGTAGTAATAATAAATAAAACAAAATAAAATAATTAGTTTTTTATTATGTTATTTTTATTAATTAAGGGTATTATAAGGAATAATGGATATATTAATAATTATATAATAATTTAAAGAAGAAAAAGATAAAGGAGAAAATTTGATTTATTGACAAAATATGCGTTTTTTTTATTAATTTAAAGTGCATATTCTCTAATCCTCATCTTTAAATTGAGTTAGATGATCGAGTTATTAGAGTGACTCTCTAGATCAACAATATCAAATCTCACCTGTTCTAAATGGAAAGTCAACCTGGTTTAGAGATTTGATCGGCAAGTCGTTTGAACGGACTGTCAAGTCGTTTAGTCTTGGGCCTCAACTTTTATCAAAATAAGTGTCATATCCACTTTCAGAACCATATAATTATTAGGCAGGCACGGGGCAGCCCATTATGGGAAGAACAGGCCACAAAGCCGTCTGTTGCCACCTCTCGCTGCTTTCGTTTTCGCTTCTGGGGAGGGAGTAGTCTTTGGATTCCTTTTTCTCAGCGGCAAGCAAACTCACCAGTCACCACCGAGTTCATTACCACTTCACACGACACCCATTTTGCAGTGACAAGTTGACAACTGATTGTGACACTCAGCCAAAGTTTTTCGAGGGTGGTTTGAGAGAATAATAACCATTATTTTTAAAAATATTTTTTGCCCTTTCAACAAATTTAAGTGCCACGTTTGCCCTTCGAAGTTGCCAATTATTGCAACTCATTCCACTTACTGTGCTTTCAGACTGGGTACACAATCCTCTAAGCTGATCGTGTTTGCTTTCATCATTTCATACTATAGAAGAAGAAAAAAAGAGTTTAAAGTTGAAGCGAATGCTGTTTACACCATAATACCTCTGGTTATTTTAGGTAAGGAGGGACACGTATCATCATTGAAATGGAAAAGGATGGATTTCTCTCGTTCCAACTTCAAACTAAAGATGCTATTTTGGTATAAGCTAATGACTATTATATTTGTCTTTATTCGACATCGTCTCACAACCTTAAATATAATGCAAGATGCAGCCTTGATAATGATGCGTCAATTACCTCTGATCCCTCTAGTGGAGGACTTGGGAGTTGGTCCTGGTCTAACGATTTATTAGCTAGGGATGATAATGATAATGTAATATCTATATGAATTACCAAAATCTGATGAATAATATATAAATATAAGAAAATGGACATCCATTAACACCTAACAAATATTTAAAGATAGTTTACACAAGGGGGTTAGACGTGGGCAAAAAAAAAAAAAAACATCCTGGTTAGCTAGACTGCAATTTGGAGTTGATAATGCATGCTACGAGAGGTTCTCTGCTCCTTTGTCCAATTATCGTTGTTCAAGAATGGCAAGTTTGCAAATTGAGCTCAAATGCCCGTCCTTTTCAAACACCAAAATGGTCCCAAGGTTAGGCACACGCAGCGCAAACATTGTGACCTGCTATAACCGGCACCCGACCCTCTCCAAGTTTTTGTTTTTAAACCTCCAAAAGCCCGTCAGTTTTCATGTCCTTCCCCCCCTTGCCCTGCTCTCGCCACAGGTCACACCTCACTGTGCTCTCTCTCTCTCTCTCCCTCCCTGCTGCCCAAACGCTAACCTCTTCACGTTCCCATTTGACCCTCCCACAACCCTCTCTTTCCTTTCAAAGCCACTAATTGCTTCCATTTCTCGCAAAGTACTCTATTAATTGCTTCCATTTCTTTAAGCTCCCCCAAAAGCCTCAAATTAAGCTCGGTTTCAGTTACTTGCGACAATGTCCGGGGCCACTAAGCTACAGTCAGCGACAAAACAGGTACACGAGCCGCCGCGAGCAATACTTGGTCCCACAGGAAACAGAGCTAGGGTTTTCGAGGCCAGAAGGAAAATTGAGGTCTTAAGTAAATCACAGCAGAAACCAAAGAAACCTGTGGAGAAAATGTCTCAAGCTGCAGTTAAGAATAATTTGTCAGTGGATAGCACGTGCTTTTCGGATTCTTCTTCTTCTTCCAGTGGTGTGTCTTCAAGTTCGGGGAAGAATGTGAAGCATTACGGAATAAAAAAAGTCGAGGATGTTCGTAACGGACGTGAGATTAATGATGTTTCGTCGAAGAAAGAGAGGCCGGTTAAGAGGTGTGATTGGATCACTCCGAATTCTGGTAAGAAATTAGTGGATTTCAAGGTTATATGCATTCGTAATGTTACTGGGTCTTAAATTTGAACTGAAGGGGTTTTGAGAAAACAGGGGAAAGTTAGTTGCTTGAATTTAAGAGTGTTAATGATTTTTGGGTTTTTCTAGTGGAATCTTAGGTAATCTTTGGTGTGCTAGACAAATATGAATTGAACATCCAAATTATATATATATATTGAAGTTGTTGATGGACCACTACAAAAATTAATTTTTTTCCTATTTAAAGGGTGGAAAGATAAATTTACTCAGTTATTTGCCTTAAGTTGATTCTTGTTAATTTAAAATTAAAAATAATTATTATAATAATTTTAAAATATGAGTAGAAAATCATTCGAGACATGCTCTTAATACACCAATCAAGTTGATTAATAAATTAAATTGATATAAGAATAAAAATTATTATTATTATTATAATTTTAAAATTTTATTATGCAATTAATTGGATGTAAGGTTATGTATCGGGTTGATTATTATAAAAATAAAAGTAATTATTATTGTAGTTTTAAAATCTTGTTAGGAGATTTATTTAGGATAAAGTTGGAGTTATAGATTAATATAAAAATAAAAATTATTAATATTATAATTTTATAATTCAAATTTAAGGTTAATCCGGAAAAAAACTTGGTCACGGATTAAAAGAGTCTAGTCAAGTTTTTAGCCGATTCATTATTTCTTTATTTTTATTAAAACCTAAACTGGCATAGCCCCAGATGAATCGACTCCTATCTAATATCTGCTAAACAAATTTTATTCGATTCAGTCAAAGCATACCAAATATGGACAAAATAATTAATTGTCAAGTCTAGTCCTATTAAGTCTAATCCAATCAATGCTATTCGGCATGCCAAACATTGCCATAGTGTTTGATATCATATGATTAATGAATGTTGAAAAAATGGTAGCTAAAAATAGTAAATATCTTAGCAGTTTAGGAATGGTTTTGTTGATAGGCGTGCTCTGTGGATTGTGTTAGTTACATGCAAAATTTGTAAAATAATTAAACATGGACGTTGGCGAGTATGCAATAAATGTGGTAAAGATTCATAATAAATAAATAAATGTGGTGAGCTGGAAGGTAAGAATTCAGCCAAGATGTCGAATTTGAGATGACGAGGCTGTTGGGAAATTTTTTATTTGGCATAGCTTCTTAGAGACTGTTGATGTCTTTATATCTTAAAAATGCATCATTTGATTATTGAGTCGTCAAGTAGTGCTTCAATGAACTGGAGTAAAAGCACGAGGTTTGTTAGCTATTGCATGTAGTTTCTGACATGCATGGATGAGATCAACAAGTTACCTAGCAGTTGCAAAATATTTCATGTATTGTTTTCATTTAATTGGCAAAATGGATAGGCTGAACTAGTCCTTGAAAACCAATACCATAGATGCTAAATGTTCTAATAGCATGCCAAAGAGTAATCAGCAGAGTAGCAGTAGTCTGCGATAGTGGAATAACACGGGTAATTTCATTGAATTCAACTAGCATAGATCAATTTTCTAAATTTAAGTCAGTTATGTGTTATTATTTCCCTCGTTTTCTCCAAGTTGCCTGAATTTTGGACCTTTTTTATGGGAAACTAAATTAACTAACCTTTGTGGTTTGCTCTATCGTACTTTTTATTCACAGACCCGCTTTATATGTCTTTCCATGATGAAGAATGGGGAGTTCCAGTTTATGATGACAGGAAACTGTTTGAGTTACTTGTATATTCACAAGCATTAGCAGAACTCAGCTGGCCAGCAATTCTTCACATGAGAGACATATTCTGGTATGTTGTTCTCCACTTTTTATGTTTATCTGTTTTAAGAAAAATGGACTTTATGATTCGTATGTGATGTTTTTCCATTAAATTTTAATGTCAGGAAGCTGTTTGACAACTTTGACCCATCATCCATTGCACAATTTACTGAGAAGAAGCTTCTATCATTGAGATTTAATGGGAATCTGCTGCTATCTGAACCAAAGCTTCGTGCAGTAGTGGAGAATGCTAAACAGATGCTCAAGGTAACCATACAGGTCAAGTCATTAATCCAACCAGCCTCCTAGGATAGTTGCATAATGCTTGTGGGAGGCTGAGTTTATCAAAGTCACTAGAGGATAATTTAGTGGAGGTTTCAAATTTAGCTTTCTTATTTTCTCAAACTAAGCAAACGGATGGACAAGTTTAAAGGGCTCATTCTAATGACACCAGAACTGTGAAAACAGAGGAGATCTACTTATCTGTTTCAACAAGAGAGTATTGGGTTTTTCTTTTTGTTCGTTGGCTGGTTTGGGGGATGTGGGGAATCCAAATCCTAGTGCCTGAGAGAACTAAGTTTTGACAATTGGACCAATGCCGCATTGAGTTGAGATTCATGTGCACAAGTGATAGGAAGTTAATGAGCTCCTCTTTCTTGTAATCTGCAGATTCAGCAAGAATTTGGTTCCTTCAGCAACTATTGCTGGCGATTTGTGAACCATAAGCCATTAAGAAATGGTTTTCGCTATGCACGCCAAGTACCTGTGAAGACCCCTAAAGCTGAACTGATAAGCAAGGACCTGATGCGAAGAGGCTTCCGCTGTGTTGGACCTACAGCTGTTTATTCATTTATGCAAGTGGCAGGATTTGTTAATGATCATCTTAAAGCGTGCTTCCGATACCAAGAATGCAATGTGGACGTCAAAAAGGATTTCAAACCCAAGAGCGAAGAGACAGAGATAGTTACTAAAGCTTTGGGGAAAACATGCGTATCTCATGACTGAGCCATTTCTCTCCGTCCTTGACTAATCACACTCATAAAACTGTAGAGCAGACCAGTTCTCTTGTAACGAGTCTAATATTTTCTAGCTGCATAGCTTGTTCTTCCACCTGTGCATCCTCTTCCTATTACAAATATTACTGTAATAAAAACAATCCTTGTTATGTGATAGTACTAAATTTCATAAACTTGGTGTTCAAGCATTCTAGGTAACAGTAAGTTTGCATGAAGGTTCTTGCCAGGGGACGATGGCAATTTGTGCAAATTATGAACGAAATAGAAATCAAAGGTAAATACATTTCTATCCATTAAAAAAAAAAAATCATTCTCTGTGAGCACTTTTTTTCCCTTCTGGCGACAACTAGAGATTCTTTCTTGAGGGAAGAAAGGTGGTTGTTGTTGGATTAGATTGAGTGAGATGAAAATGAGTTACAGCAGGATCGTGTTTTTTTCAGCTGAATCTCATGTACATATATAACTCAAGCTGAAGCCTGTAATATATATAATTTAAGCTGAAGCCTGTTATTACATGGAAAAAATTAAGTTCCAAGAAAATTATTGCCATTGCAGCCTTAAAACTTGAAGAAATTATGAGGTAAGATCGGAGCAGTGAGATCCTCCTCCCCTCTCATGTAAAAAAAAATTAGTGTATAAAAATTATTAATGAGATCCCTTTTATGTGAAATAAAGGAATATAACTTCAGCTATATCGAATGATTTTTTCGCCTACTAAAACTTAAAAGATGTCCAGGAGCTTAATAATTTATTTAAAAATATATTAAATATTTTTTTATTTTTATCATCAACATAACCAAATAATATATATATATTAAATTTTTGCAAATATCTTTTGAATCATAATTCTAAACAACCTCTTACGCTAAAAAAAATTTGAAAAAAAATGAAGGTGAAGCCCTCACATTATTTAGTCACTGATCAAGCATGTGGGTTTGATGAGGGGATGCAACGCCCAAACCTGGAAATCTTTTGTAGTGGCGAATAATTGCATTCAGCTTGGAGGATAGCACGATGACCGAAGCCATGTGGTGCAAATGATAAGCGAAATAGAAATTTAAAGTAAATAAATACGGATGGAAACCAGACCCCTCTGGTTGGACAGCAGATAACATTGCTACGTAACAACCATTCATATAATCTGCATCCCTCGTTATTTAAACTCCTAATTCTCATTCCCTTGTTCTAATATTGATGAATCTCTACACGAGTGAACGTGGGTTTTGTCGGGCAATGCCAGTCAAAGGCCAGCCTCATTTGCTGAGTATGCGATGTGCTGAGGATCATGATCATCGCAGACAGTAACCATGGCAACAGATTTGAAAGACAAAGAAAGCTGCACTGAAATACAAAGTTGTGTTTGTAACAAGATACATCCATTAACTTAATGAAGTAAAACATCAACAAATGGTTTATGTTGTCAGCAGGTTCTTTCAAAGTTCATAACAAATAGAAAAAACTTCTCGATCACACCCAGAAATATCCCACGATATCTACATGTAATACTTGTGAAACATTCCAAACAATTCAACTGGCAAATTTAATCATCAAATAAGTAAAAGAAAAAAAACTAAATAACGATAGAACTAAACATGAAAAGTTACTTCCTTTCATGAACCAAGATTGGTTAAGGAAATGCACTTCTTGCCAAAGTAACTAAGCCATGCATAGGAAATGCTCTTCCAGACCAAGCTTGTGAACCACAAACTGGAAAAAAGGATATCTTCACTTTCATTCCTGCATTTCATTGCCATCACTTTTACTGATACATGGCACCAGTTCACTCTAACTCCGAGCCTTGCCACCTCCAAGTGTGAGCTCTAGATCATCTAATCCTACTTCACGAATCCTCTCTCCTTCCCATGGTTTCACCTGTTCGCTACCAAACTCAAAATCCATTGACATTCCATTATCTTTGACCAGATTGTTGGACAAAATTTGCTGAGCCACAGGTTTCACAAGATTATAGGTAGGAGAGGTGGGCATTGCTGCAACCACAGAAGGAGCAAACTTTTGAAAGCTTATCCACTGACCAGACTCAGCGGTGGATGAATCAGACTCGTCACATTCAGGTATAGTGGCTGGAGCATGAAACTGACGGTGAGTCGGGCTAGCTGGGGCAGACACTGCATTGAAAGGGTAACTGAAGGAGGCCATGGATTGTTTAGCAATGAAATCCCAGTTAGGAATTGGCTTGGGATTTCTTGAGGTTGGGGACGAGAGAGGTGGGGTTACAGGTGCACTGTTTGAGATTCGGAGAGGAGGAAGAGACAACGGAATGGCACTTTGAAGGAATGGAAGGAGATTAGAAGAGACATTGTTATCACCACGAGTGGGGCTAGGAAATGACGAGGAGGAGGGACTGACTTGATAGGAAGGAATCGGGCTGGGAAACGATGAAGATAGCGGACTCGGATTTTGGGATGAGTATGGGGTTACTCTCATTGATGAACCTACTATCTCTATTGGAGGTGGCCTGTGTCCCTGGACAATAAAAATGAATCAAGCATGGAACACAAAGGGTCATAAAAACCTTAAACACTGGTGAAATGGTTTCAGATAGAGCAAACAACAAGTGATTAAAATGAGATAACAGCAATTCAAGCTTAATTAACTGGATTTAAAAACAGAGGAAGACCATCTTCTTTAATTGATCAGTGACGGTTAATCACACTGACTGGATTCGATGAATTTAAAGTTTCTTAAAACAGAAAAGACACACGGATTAAAGCCCTTTTTTACTAACATTTTAAGCTTCAATTGACCAGCTGTAAATCTTAAATTCCCCAATGCCTTCAAATCAAAACCTAGTGCCACTTAAGCTTGAGAAGAAAAATGAAAACAGATACAAAAGAGAGTGTTCAGCTGAGATAGAAGCTTGATCTAACTAGGAAAGGAGGGAAAACGAGATGAATCAAAAGCAACAAGTACAGATCCATGAAAAGAAAAATAAGGGCGTGTGTGTGTAGCATACCTTGCGATAAGTAGTTCCGTCCTCTTCAACAACCCAACCAGCCTCAGCACAGAGAGCTTTCAATACCTCATTATTGTCGCAATATTTAGGCAAATTATAATTCCCTTGAGCCCTTAACCCAGTAAATATTTTTGCAGCTATGGCTCTTCTCCTCCTCTCTCTCCTTCTATTATTCTCTCTCTCCCTCCACGACGGCTTCCTCCTCGTAGTTGCCGCCGCTGCAGCTGATGTAGAAGTGGCCCCATCTGACGTCATTTTCCGACAGCAGACCACCCTACTACAGACGCTCTAACTCTAGTTCTCTCTCGGCTAAAAGGAAAGAGCCGGGAAGCAGAGAAGAGAAGGTCACGAGGAAGAGGCTTTAAAATGTTTAATTGGCTGGGAAGTATAGTAGAAGAACCTGTCTGTGTTGGGGTTGTTTTATTTTTTTATTTATTTTAATAAAGTTTTATGATGAACGAGAAAGGGAAAAAAACAGAAAAAAGAAAAAGTCAAGTCACTGAAGAGAAATTGGTGGGGGTGGAGGTGGGGGTGCGTTTTTCATATCAATGCATGAAAAGGTTTTGTATTAAAGGTGCCCTAATCTATATTGAAAAAGAAAGTGATTGAAATTGTTTTGGTACAAACTCTATTAGTGGCCGAGCCAAGCTCTTTTTCAGCCTGAAAAAAAAAGAAGAAGAAGGTTTTGTTTTTAAAAAACAAAAGAAATTTGATATCTATGCTAAATCTTGATTAATTTCATATTGTGATTATAAATAAAGTGTTGGTTTAATAATTAAAGCACCGTTATATCCCTGAAATAATAAAAACATAAGTTTGATTTTTATAAAGCGTACTTGTTAGAAGGAATAATCTCAAACGGGGCTAATCTCATTCTTTAAAAAAGATGTAAGGATATATGGGTAAGAATAAAAATAAATTCATATTATAATAAAAATACATACAGTGACAACAACAAATAAATTTAAAAAACAAAATATTAGCTTAAGCAAAATTTAGTTAACACGTAAAACTTGTTATCTGATATATAAAATTAAAATAATTTCATATGAGAATGAAATTAGTAAAAATTAATTGTAAAAAAAAACTTAAAAAAAAATCTAAGTCAATCCGATCCAATCTTTAAACTTGTAACCTAAAAGGTTGATAAAATATCTATCAATAAAATATTATAGGATGAAATAAAATAAAATATTAAATAAAGCAACTGAAAAAAAAATTCAGTTAAGAGAATGATATAAAATATAAAGGGATGCAATTAAAAAAATAATTTAATTAAAAAATTATTAAAAAAAAAATAAAAAGAATAATGATTAAATACGAAAGGTAGAAAACTCAAAAGAGTGTTAAATCAAAGAAAACATCAATAAAAAGAGGAGGAACCAAATCTAAAAAGAAAAAATTGAAGGGTGGCTTTGAAAATACACAGGGAAAGGCTTCGAAACTGAGGAAAAAAGAAGAAAAAATAAAAGGAAAAATAGAAACTGCCATTGGCACAAAACTCGACTTTTTTTGCTACACACACCATCCATTAATGGAGGCAACATCGTGAGTATTGAAACAATGTCGTTGAAGCTAAAGTTTGGCCGTTGGAAGACATAGTACGTATTATTTGAAAAGCATGGGATCATACATGAATATTTACGTTAATTTCACTCGTAACTGACTTTTTCAAGTTAAATAATATTTTATATATGTCAACCTATTAAATTGTCATGATTGGACTTTATAATTACAGAAAGGGAAAGATAACAACCCCTTAACCCAAGACAAATATAATTTAAATTTAAATACACTAAAGTAATTTTACTATGCATTTAAAGTGAAAATGTAAAAAAATAACCTTACTTGCCCACACCAGTGCGTTAATTCTTGCTTTTAATGGCATATCGCTCATTTCAATGTGCAAATAACAGCAAAAGGACTATTATACCACCACTTCCAAGATCATTTTGTGCTGTGTTTATAAAGATGAAATCATCATTTAATTATTATAATCTATATGCTAACTAATCTATGTATATAGTAATAAAACTAAAATAAAATCACGAGTCCTTTTAGTTTCTTTTAACTAGATATGTTTGTCTATTGCCATGACTAAATAATCTTTTTTAATGTAAAAAAGGTGATAGGTTAAAAAAAATTTAAGTATCAAGTCATGGGTGAAATTGACAATTTAAAAATTTACAAAAAAAATAAACAAAAAACTAAAATCATATCCGAATCTATTCAGATTATCAAACACCTAATACTAAACTGATTGAAGGAGATCTCTGAAAAAAAAAGTTAAACTTCAAAAAAAAATATCAACTTAAAAAAAAAAAAAGAGAAATCAAGCAAATCCAAACAAAACTTCCAAATCTAATGTAATCTAAAATACTCTCAACTTATTAAATCATGAATCTAAGTTCAATCAAAAAATTTAAATGTCATCTAATTTAATTTTAAAGAATGGAATCGTTGAAAAAATTATTAATAAAAAATTAGTTGTAAAATAAATGGAATAGCAAAAATAGATGGGTTAAAATCTTATAGGAAAAAACCAAATAAAGATGAGATCCATAAAAATAAAATAAAAAAATTATTTCAAGCAAACATAAAATGAAATTAAAAGAATTAGGACCACACTTGAAAAATTAAAAAATCATAAAGGGTGAATGAAAATTATTTTTAAGAATGATAAATTATTTATAAATTAAAAAATAGCAGGGTTCAAATAGAAAAAGGAATTATTGAGGGCTAACCCAATATAATCAAACAAAAAAATAAAAGGAAATACAGAAAAGAAAAAAATTGATAAAAAATAAGATAACATCAATTTAGAAAAAAGTAAAAAACCATAAAGCAAATCTTTTAAACATGATCTAATTTCTAAAAGTCACATCTTGTGAAATTTTTTATCCAAATTCAATCAAGAAGCATAATCTTTAACCAATTTAGTTTTGAATGATGAAATCAATAGAAAAAGATTACAAAAAAGACTTGTAAAAGCAACAAAAATAATGAGGATAAAATTTGATAAAATGAACCAAAATAGGATGTAATTTAATGAAAAAAATAAAAATAAATCTCAAATAAAATAAATATTAATTAAAAGAATAAAAACCAAATTTAAAAAAAAAATCATTGGGGGCGGGGGGGAATTAAAAACATCTATAAAAACAAAGCAAACTGAATAAACATCCTCAATATGTTCTAATCCTTAAAAGCTCACAACCTATAAAATTCTAGATCCCAAGTCATACCAAAAAATTTATTATAAGCACATTTAAAAATATAAAATTTAAAAACTTGTCTAAGCAAGGAAAAAGATAGCTAAAAAAATCTTGAGCGAACCCGATAACGAACTAGGTCAACAAATAAAAATATATGAATTATGACATGAAATTGGGATGACCATATAATTAGAAAAGCAAAAACAAAATATCACCAAAAGATATATTAAAAAAATACTTTAGAAAAAGACATAAACCGGCATGGATTAATCCTTTTGATTCATTACTTGAGTCATGAAACTAGAATGACCTCCTTAAAGGTAAACCTAAAAAAGCAGAGATATAAGATTCTTAATCAAATAAATTTTAAGAGATAAAATTAAAAGAAAAAAATCAATAAAAACAATGCAATACAAAAAAATAGCAATTAAAATAATTAGGGTTAAATTTTACATAAAAATAAAATGAAATTAAATGTTTAAGGATGGAATTGTAAAAATAAAATAAAATAAAATAATAAAAAATAGCAATTAAAAGAATTAGGGCCACATTTGACATAAAAATCAAATGAAAATAATGCCTAGAGGTGGAATTGAAAAATAACAAATCAATCTAGAAAATGATTTAAAACAAAATAAATAGCAATTAAAAAAATAAGGATCAAATATGAAAACAAATAAAAAAAATCAAATGACTAGGGATGAAATAAAAAATAAAATCCAATTAGAAATAATTAATGTAAATAAAACAATTGAAAAAAAAAGAGAGAGAGAAGAGGGAATGAATCAAAAGAAAAAATAAAATGAAAGATTGATATGAATTTTTGAATGGTTAGCATGCAATTTGAGAAAGAAAAAAAGAAAAGAAAAAAAAAATTCAGACTAAATTACTATACATATGACACCTAAAGAAAAAAAAAAACATCGATATAAATCAAATAATATGATAGAACAACCAAAATCAACCACACGCACTACTAGAAGGCTATCGAGCAATTCACACTTGCAATACATGAATTAATAAATTTTTTTTTGTAATTTGTATAAAATCAAAAATACCTTTAAAACTCAACAATAACACTAAACAAATCATGTAAAGTTATAAGCAAACCCTTAAAGATAAGGCTAAAAGATTTGAATGGTAAGAATATTGCAGTAAGTATATTGTTCTATCTAATATAAAAGCACAGAAAGATTCTTATGGAAGGCACATATAATTATTTTATTGAAGGGTTGTATTAATAATTTTATTGTGTATTAAAAAATTCAATTACTAAAATAACCTTGTATATTTCTTAAAAGATATTTATATCATAATAAAATTACCACCTCATAATAAAATATTTATATTATTATAATGAATACATACATACATATATATATATATATGTATGTATGTATGTATAATAATTAGGAGTCATTAAAGGAAGGGAGGAGTTCAAGCCACCTTATATTATTGTGGCTCGCTTGAGTGAGGAGACCAAGTATACGGGAGTTGTGTTGGAATTTTCTTTCTTTCTTTTTCTAAATAATAAATAAATAAAAGGAGGGGTGACGGTGACGGTGACGCTGGGGCTGGGGGGCTTGCCGCGTGTTTGTGATCGCTTACGTACCTGTCTTGTAATGACCAAATAATTCAAACATGGGGTCCAAGCCGTTGAGGGTGGGACCCAACATTTGAGAACGTGTCTCTTTCTTCTCTGCCATTGGATGGATGAGCCCAGTTCTTTCAGGAGGGCCCAGTCAACTTTATTGATAAACTTAAATAGAATTTTATAGACCATGCTAGGCTATAGGTCCGGTGGAGATTTTTTAAAACACAAAAACATGTGTGAGTGCTGTTAACTTATTTTCTAACATAAAAGGAATCTTTAATGAAATTAGAGAAAAAAAAGAGAGACAATCCAGAAATAAAAAAATTAAAGGAAAAAATAAAAGAATTACTATTGAATTCATAGTTTGTTTACCGCGCTACACCGTGGATTAGATTAAAAATCAACTTTAATTGCAAAAATATATATATCTACAGACATTGTTAATATTTTAATAATTTCAAATTAAATCAAAGGCCCATTGAATTGAGCTCTTTTATTGCCTGAGTCTAAAACTACACAGGGGTTGAAGTTGATTTTTATATACTTGCTTAACTAAATATATATTTAAAAGTGTAGTTGTAATTGTTTTTTAAAATATTTTTTAACTAAAAAAATATATTAATAATATTTTTTATTTTTTAAAATTATTTTTAAGATTAACATTTTAAAATAATTTGAAAATATAAAAAACATATTAATTTTAAAAAAAATCAATTTTTTTATAAATACTTTTAAAATACACCATGAATAATCTAAAATCAAAACCTAAAACAACTTAATCTTGCTTGAAAAAAAATATCAATATGACGAAGTTTTAACAATATTTTTAAAATATTTAGATGTTAAGGACATTTTAGACCTACCCAAATTAGGTCGACATGAATTTTCCCACGAACGATTGAATTTGCTCGCCTTTACATGTGGATGATTAGATCTCTAGAAACCAACGAAGCTTTACTTCTGAACTGAAACATTTACACATCAACAATTTATTATACAATTTGATAGGAAATGAAAGGGGGGGAAAACAGGTGAGGTGTTTACCCATTTATATAGACGGCAAAACACCATAAGCTTTCCCGGATGTTTTACTAGTCTTTCCAAGTATTTTAACAGATTTGGCCATTTAATTACACCAGAGAGTCTTTGGAATGCTCTTGATCCTAGATTGGAAGGAGTGGTTGCGACTTGGCGAGGCTCAGGACCCTCTCTTCTGGGAAGATTATAGATCGTGTACGCGCGTCCAAGATTGTGGATCAAGAGGGTGTTCGGAAATTTCAACCATGCAAACAGCGAGGGGGGGGCTTTAAGACCTGCCATGTAACAACGAAAGTGAAGAAGGAAAAGGGAGGATAGATGCGGAGTTAAAATCATATATAAAAGGATAGGTTTCCAGTCTTCTCCAAGAATGTTTAGGCAGACATTGCCTTCCACGTCAATATTAGAATAGCAAACCACTACTACGTTCTCAAATACCCCGTATAGCCTTCCTCCTTCCTCTAATAGTTCTTCAAACCTTGATTGAGTAGATTGTATCATACACTTTGTTCCTATTCTTGCCTTTCAGCTCCCTCAAAACCCTCTTAAAAGAGTGTGAATTTTGCCTAATGTTGTGTCATTCATCGACATTAAGTCTAAAAATGCTTGAAGCCCTTGAAACCAAGTATAGCAAAGCAAGAATTCCCTTTTTGAAGACGTAATTCCCCCGCGCTTTGCTTCTTCACTAGAGGCCTTCCCATCTGCTCTCCTTTTCTCTATGCTTTGCTAAAAAAAATAGGGTTCATGTTTGGGTTTTAAAAATACCTCTAATGTAAATGATGTGACAATACTCGGTTATTTTTGTATTTTAAAAGAGTTAGAAAAAAAATATTTATTTATTTATTTCAAATTAATTTATTTGTTATTTTATTAATATAAAAAATTCAAAAAAAATTTCAATATATTTTTAAAAAATATATACTTTTAAAAATAATTTCTATTACCAAAATAGCTATGACTCGGGTTCATTCTCAACGTAACAGTCGTTGTTTTTACAAAGTTCTGACTCCACGAGTCCCACAGAGAATATTCTTTGATGACATTATAAGAGAGAGGGAGGTGTGATAGTGAGGAAACAAAGAAAAAAGGGAAGAGAATTGAGAAATGGAAGAGAAACGAAAACAAATTCTGTTGTGGCGTTTCTTAATTCAAAAGCAACAGGGCCCCGTCTCATGTTAACAAAGAGAATGGATAGAGTGGAGATAACATATTATGCTTTTGGATGATCTTTTTGTTTTACACCGTTTCCTTGGACACTGAAAACAGAGAATAAAAGGTTTTGATTGTCTGTTAAGAACTTTGTTTTCCTTGAACTTGATAACGGGGTTTTGATTTTGTGATACAGATTCAATGCTGGATGCTCTTGCAAGCATACCAGGTAATTTTTTTTATTATTAATATTTCTGGTTCTGTTTTGTTGATCTTTCTCTGTTGTAAATCTGGCAAACCATTTGTTTGATTTATTAAAAATGGAGTAAAACGGAAACAGCTTCTGCTGCTATGTGTCCTGAAAATCAAAAGTTTCACTAGTCACTTGGTGGCAACTTCCGGTTTGCTTGGGTTTCCAACAGAAAATCTTGATAATCTTGCTTAAGTCAAGGGGTATATTTTCTTTGAATTTGGTTTTGGATTTTGATTATATGGAACCTTTCAAAATTATATCATGTAAAGCTTTGAAACTTTTTGTTCCCCTGCAATTCTTTTCCCTTTTTTTTTTATTGATCCTGCTTCAGATTTGCAGCTACGGTGATTCAGAGTTGCAAGTTACAGAAAATTTGGCCGAAAACATGACTTGGTATAATCTAAAGTCCCATTAGTCAATCTCACCTAGCTTGGAGCTCATATGTATAGTCAAACTGATCTCTGGTGTGTCATGTGTGGTTCTTGCATTTACCTATCAGTAAACAAAGTTTCCTTGTCCTCAGATCATGGATTTTGAAACAAGAGAATTATGTAATATATTGTAAGCCTAGTTCAATGACAATGCCCCCCTGCCAACAATCTTTTCACCAATCTTGGTGTGTTCTTCTTCTTTTGAACTGATAGGAGGGTTAACTGGTATCTCTATTTCGACTTAAGATTTTTTCCTGCAAGGATGGGGAAAAAAGTTGTTTTTTTTAATCTCTTGCCTTTGCTCTTCTTAGCCTGTATTGTTCATGTCGAATTGAATGATGATTAAAGTATAAACTAAAATGGACAGTGTTACAACCCGATAGACATGTACTTCCATTAATATGAAATGAACTCTTTCACCATTGGCAGGAGAATCAACCCTGAATTTTTTGAAGGCCAAGTGCCTCATGAGCGTAAAACTGAGTGAGTGATGCAAGAGTACTGGACAGATCAGAAGGCACGGAGTGAAAAAGGCAAGGCTAAGGTACTTGATATAATATGCAACCCTTCTGCTTATTGGTTAACATCAGTATTTTATATCCTTTCTCCTATCAACCTGCCAGTTTGGCTGGACATTTTACAGGTAGCCAGCTCCTAATGCAGAGTATCTCTTGGCGGTGAACGAGTTCTAGACCATGAAAAGCAGCTGATTGCTAGCCCCCATATTGACAGTGATACCCACATTCACTGGAAAAAATCATTTGGTCCAAGGACTCCTGCCAATACAAACAATGGTTCCACGAGCAAACCTGAGGCGCCACTTTGATTGTGGCCTTTGTTCATGTCTGCTTGGTGAATTTGATTTTCATTTTTCCTTTTGGACCGGATACCTGTTGCTTGGAGTATACCTGTAACAGAGCCCTCTTTGTTTTTTTGTTCTTTGTTGGTAACATAGGACACTAGAGAAAAATGTTAGCATGTTCGTGTGTGTATGTGTTTCCTCCATATATTGGCTTCCTTTTATACTGAATTCTAGTGTTTCTGTACGTGGAGAAGGAGAATGACACTGGAAAGTTGGCTGCGACAGGAATACCTCCAAAACTCCTGGTTGCAAATCCACCTGAAATTTATTATTTTTCCAGAGGTGATTACTTGGAACTGCTGGATCTTGACAATCCAGCATCACCCTCTTCGAGTTCAGATGATTCAAGTTGTTTGACCATATCATCAGATGAGTACTTCGACTCAATTGCTTTGTTGCGAGACCTAGAATCTGAAGGTAATCAGGGCTTGGTACAAAAGATTTAGGCAGCTAGGAAGTGGAAGGAAAAAACTCGGGAGGAAGTATCTGTGCTTTATGCCATTCTACTTCCTCCTCTACTATCAGTTGCACATTGATCATTTTGTATATAAGCATATTATCTTAGTAAGTGGGTGTACTTCCTCCTCTAACATCAGTTGCACATTGATCATTTTGTATATAAGCATATTATCTAAGTAAGTGGGTGTAGTGATTCTTTTTTGAGTAGTGTATCCTGAAATAACTAGGTCGGGCACAGAAGCTGATATAGGGAGATTTGCTATTTTTCTGTTCAGATGACCGGTGAGCCTTGGATTTTGAAGACGATAGGTACAAATAGGTGGTATTCGAGGGAGACAATAGTAGCAAGTTGACATTGATTACTCTGTTACATGCAAGGATACAAGTATGCTGTTCACTTTCCCCTTGCAAGCTTCTATTTATAAATTATTCATGTGACGCTCGTAATGTAACAAAAGCTGCTATCAACCATGTGATTTTCCGCTTTCCCATTGCACTGGAATCATTGAACTGAAAAATGATAGGACATCGAGGCAAGAACTTTAAGGTGCACTGAGAGGTTCTAATAACAGTAGTTTTTCCCTTTTCACTGGACCTCCTCCATGAGGTGGTGCCTTTATATTAATTTACCAGAATTGAATCAGCCCTTGCTGTTAGTCCGGGAGCTGGGCTGGTGGACCAGTTTCTGGGCCTTGTTCACCAATTCGAATGCTTTGGTAGGCCTACACTCCGTGTAGTTCTTTTCAATCCACGAACGATGGGCCTTTCTCTGCTCCTGTGGTCATCTATCATAACCCCTTGACAGAAATAGCAAAACAGAAAAGGTTTTAGAACTTAACTTCAATTTTTTTCTCACATTTTTTTATTCAATTATTTTAATTTCATGATTCAAAATATAAGATATGATTATCTTATCCAGTTTGCTAGCATTTTTACTTTGTCTCTTTTATTGTTTTTAATTCATCCTTTTATATTTTATTTGTTAAGAATTATACTTTATTATTTTTTTATTGTTTCTTAATTTATTCAAGTCTAATGAACTAAATTGAAAATTTAGCATTTCATTGGAGTTAACTCAATTCAATTTATTTTTTAATTTGTTTATTTGTGTTAGGTTGAACAGGAAATAAGCTTCATTGCTTTTTTTTTGGATGATTTTTTTTCAGATTCTTATAAGAACATTTTTTATTTATTTGATCCATTTATTTTTATTACTTATTTTTATCATTTAATTAAATTACATCAGTTTATTTAACTAAATTAGATGTATATCCCGAGTCATGAATTGTTTTCACTTCTTTAAATACGTCAAACACACATCCTTTTTTATGCTAAAACTTGAGAGGTGCGACCTAGCATGGCCACGAGTCTAGGTTTTGCTGTTTATTATTGTATCCTCTTTCATAGAGCACTTATTGACAACAAACTATGAAAGGGCATGAGAATATTATGATGTTGAATTAAAGGTTGATGTTATGAAATAAACTTTGAGGTTATATTTCTAAACAAAATTAGAAGGAAAAATACCAAAATTAACCAAAAACAAAGCCTTTTTTATTCCCGCTGTTCAAAAGGTGTAAAAAAATTAATTTGATTATTAAAGTCTTAATTTATGCATATTCAGCCCTTATTGTTTTAGAATTTTATTTTTTAATCATAAACTTCATTGTTTTTATGTTTCAGTTTTTTTATATCGAAAGACAAAAGGAAAAGCTGCTTTAAAAGAAAGATAGGAGAGAAAGGATTATATCAATGTCTAATTTTGGTGTCAATAAATTCATTTAAGATATAAGAGTTCAATTGAAATTATTTTACCCACCAACAATGAAAAAAATAGCTCAGAACTTGTAAAGGTTTTTAATTTCAAATTGAATTTTTGTTTTTAAAATGATTAAATTATGTTTCAGGGTTGAATTTCAGGTTATTAAAGTTTCAAGATGTTATTGAAGTATTTTTTTTATATGAAAACATATTGAAAATAAATTTATAGGGTCTCAAAACTTAGGCTTCGGTTTTTTAAACATCAAAGTTGATAAATAAATAATCAGTGAATACATGTTATATGTTAAAGCATATGATGAGTTGTCTATTTTTTTTATAAAAAAAAAAAAGGAAAGAAAATTAGGCACGCATGCATGACTTCCTAGCCCAACCACATCTATTTTTTAAGATTAGATGCCCGAGTCCAGCATTTCAGGTCCAGTAATGCATGACATGAGATTTAACAGTTAAATACTTTTTCCATAGCTTTTAAATAAGTAAAAATATATATACTTATTCCATAGCTTTTAAATAAGATCATAACTTTTTTTCTACGGTAATATTAGCCATTCTTTTAAGAATGATTATAAATTAATTTAATTTACAAAATCTTCTTAAAATATGCTCAACAATAATAAAACCTATTTTGTTATTGTTAATTTCTTATACAATTTTTTTAAAAAATAATTATTCTTTTATTTTTTTATTCAAATATGTGAAAAATATAAAGAGCGTGCTTTTTATTTATTTATTAAGAGTATGATAAGTTTTTTATTTAGAAATAATATAGATTAGAGCGGTACTGTAGTGATCCGGGATCTCCCTGGTTTCAAAGTCCGAATCCCTAAAATATATCCATGGCTGTTAGCATCTCTTCAATCCTTGTCCAGTTCCATCGATCCTATTTTGAGCAAATTAAATGACCAAAGAATTGTTGTTTGGAGAACTCTATTGCGATAAAATGGTGATTGAAGGATATGAACTAGTGGGACCACCCGTTATGATAGTCCGTAACACTGCCTTAGCAAATCTTTTGTATTTGTTTTTGTGTTTAAAAAAAATTAATTTTTTTTATTTTTTAAATTAATTTATATGATATTTTTGGATTACTTATGTTAATAAAAAAATTATTATTTTAATGTATTTCAAAATAAAAAACACTTTTAAAATTAATAACTACTGTACTTCTAAATATTTTTTTATATGTTTATTATTACAACACCAATTACTTTTTATTTTGATTTTTATTAGAAAAGTATTATAATAATATATTTTTTATTTTTAATATTAATATTTTAAAAAATTAAAAATTAAAAATACTTTTTAAATATGAAAAAAAAAAAACAGACACTAACAGCAGACATGAAAACATGGGGAAGTAGGTGTGCACCGGCCTTGGGATAGGGGGAAAAAAAGCCCGGATAAAAGGGACCCGGAAGAGATTGTTGACTTAATTTATTCTGATTCACATGTCTATGCCTAACTCTTCGAATTGGCCTGGGTTGAAGGCAAGTTCCCTGACGGGGGAGCACGTAACATGTTCTTGAAGTGAAGGGCTCCCCCCCTTTTTTTTTTTTTCACTGCTCGACTGGAAAAAAAAAAAAAAAACATAAAATACAGATGTAGGAGTCGTACGTAACTATGCCTGTCTTGAGGGTAAAACACAACTGCAAATAATATCTGTACGCTATCCCCTTCGAGGAATACCATGAGATGGGAGACGAAGCTAGCCCAGACTCCTCGCCGAGGGAATTGTCTTTGTACATGCTTGATTTGTAACTTACATTATTTAAATAATTGATCGATTTATTATATACTAATTCATGTTATTTCTTAAAAAAAAGACTTTTCACATGATTCAACTTGCACGCTAGGAAACAGATTGCCTGACATCAATTCCTATGCTAGGAAGAAAACTAAGTAATTATTTAGATGGTAACCAAGGTAAAGATTTGGAATCAAGGAGTTTGCTTTATAATTTTTTTTTAGATTAACGTGGGTGTCCGGGCCAGCTTGCGCGCACCACGACTAATCCCACGGGCCCTGAAGTTAACGACCATGTAAGCCTCCAGT